TTTGTCCATTCACGAAACTTTTTCACCCTAAAGTCAGTGCAGCCCAACACTGCACACTGTTACGATACCCCTTTTCTTGCTCACTGCAACGCTGATATTGATAAAAACGAAACGCGATTGTTATTTCTCAATCGAAACAAAAAATATGTAGCGATGATTGGAATCCAGTGTATTAAAATGAGTTGACACAAATTTCTGTTATATGTGACAGCTTTGCATGATATGAGTTTGCGCAGGGCTACAGTTTCGAAAGCTGCGCCAGGGTCAAAATATCGGACGAAATGTGGTTTCCGATATATTCTGATCGACAAATTTCGAATTTTCAATCAGATTAACATTATCGTTCTTCGCCTTTTATTTAATTTTAGCGAACCATGGTAAATTACGTTTGCGCGGTTTCTCGTTGAGTTTTGTTTTTATAAATTTAACTTTTTAACATCGAAAAAAGGGTACCACAACGATTCCACCCGACGAACCGAAGTATTTTAAGCTTTCTGATGTATTGCAGAAAGATAAAATCAAAAAATCCCAAGCGCACGCGCATTACGAAAATTCGATCAAACTTTCTCGAAGGGAGGCGTTTTTTTTTTTTTTACAATTCTTCGTGCGTGCATTACACGCGTAATAAGGCTATGGGCAGCGAGTAAAAATCTTCATAAGAACTTCATGTACAATCTCTCTTTTGTCCCAAACAAGGCGTGTCAGTGTATCCGCATAATCACCGAAAGAAATCACGCCCAACGGAAATCGAAATCTTAATCGCACACTTGTTCTACCGTGCAAAGTGAGCGCATACAATGCCACGAATTTATTCTGATTATTCGGTCCCTGGAACTTCTATGATCACTCGTTACGAAAGTGAAAACAAAAAAAAAGCAAAACGTCCCCCTGGTCACGCGATCGATCGAAAGTCAAGGTCACAAACGAGATTACCCAAAGAAGTAAAAAAAGGAAGGGGAACGCGACTCGAGGTCGTCGCCCTTTTCGACTGTCACTTAAGTGTCGAGCATAGGCGCTGCTGCTGCAACACATTTAGCTTTTATTACATACAAGCGTCTCTCCACCATCATATATACGGTGTCAACGAACTCTCTCGCGAGATCGAGCAAGAGATGCGTGTATGTATGAAGTTCGAGATATCGACAGCATCATTCTGTAAACTTCCTCGTTGGACGAGATTCAACGCATCCGCCTTCTTTTCTTCTTGAAAGCAATGTCATGTATTATTTGCGCGAACGATATATGTGCATCGTTGGATGATCTTATACATGTCGTTAATTACTCAGTCACATACGTAGCCGTTGATCGAGTTTATAAAACGCGGATGTAAATTAGCGCTGATTTGACGTTCGCTATAATGAGAATGTCATTTTGAGTTCAAAGCTTTTCGCCTAAATTAATCGAATCGATCCTCTTATTGAATGTCGATTACAGAAAATATCTCGGTAGGATTAAGTTTCTGAAATCCCAATGTTATTAAAGTTTTATCGGTCCAATAAAATATTCGTGATTTACTGTTCTCGTCTATTCATAAATTATTCCAAGTACCGAAGATAATTTATGTACATACGAGTGATTCACGTAAGTTAATGATAAAATCTTGCCAGCGTTCGAAATGTTTGCGAGGACTCTCATCCTTATAAATTAAAAATATCGAAGCTTGGAAATCTTGAACCCGAATAAAAGCCTTTAAAAATATTTGTAAGATCTGCATAGAAGCTTCGTTTCGCTCGTCAAAATAATCAACCTTCGCGCGCGTAGATTCGAAGCAGCGCAAATAAAGTGCGGATTTTCTTTGCAACGCACGATTTGGAACGTGTCCCGCGCCTATCTACCCGCGTTTAGAAAAATCCGTCCAGGCACGTTTCCAAAGCCGCACCGACGCGCCACGAAGCAGAAGTGCAAATCCGGTATCCAGCAGCTCGCGATACGCGCGCAGGCGTGCGAGCGAGCGAGAGCGCCGGTCGCTGGAATAAGAGCGTCTAGGTCAGGGGCGACGGATCCCGAGGAACGATACGCGCCGCGCGACAACGTGCAAAGAGGAAGGCCAGTGCACCGGGCCAGTCGCTCGTTCTTTCTCGCTCCTTTCCTCTTCTTTCCGAGCGGCCGGTCTTTCTCGCGCGCGCGCGCGCGCGCGTGAAGCGCTATAAATATTCGCGGCGCGGCGATGGCCAAGTATAGACCGTTGGGACGCCGCCAGACCGTAAGTTGCTATTTCGGCTTGGCCGCTAAGGCAAGGGTTGCAGGCTATATTCTTGCGGGAGAACTTTCGGGGAATCCCCTCCACGGTGCTTTCTTTCTCGACAAATTGCCGAGTGCACGACGCGCGTTGTCTATCGGATGCAAGGCACGCCGCTCGATGAGTTTGGCGATCTCACGCTGCGACGCGCGAAAAAAACTTCCGAGGAGTGCTCCTCGCACCTGGCGAACCGGCGAATCGTGCTTATCCACGCATTCTAGCTTAGCGATTTTTCATGCTTGTGGTCGCTTCGACGCGCGTAGAGGAGAATCCCGTTTTACAGGTTGGACGAGAAATTATAATCTATCGTATATACACCATCGATGCATTTCTATTTTCTTTATCGAAAAATATGCGCGTTATGCGCCACACGGTATACGTAGCAAGCCAGCGTTTAACGCTACAATTTTTCACACTGGAATTGAGAAAAGCCGTTGATTCGTTGTCGTGGCGAATCCGTCGAATATGTTATCGTAATCGTCAAACGAAGAATATTATCGCACGGAAGAGTACGCGCCACTTTCATAATACCGGCCAATCGAGTTCGGAAAAGCTCTCTTTTTCTTATCGTTCAATAAATAAAAGACGCGCTATCGGTGTGATAATAACGCGCGTGTGCACGTGTGCGTCCGTCTCTTTATTTTTAGTTGCACGCGCGACCTTCGTATATACTCATCTCGTGATACAACATTCCTTGTGTGTATGTTTGCAGCGCGTACAAGATGAATGGAAAATCGCACGCCAAGTCATTTCCCTTACAAAACAATTATATATGACGCTCTCTCTGTGACGCACCGCATCTGCTGACCCATCGCTGTCGCCGTATAATGCTTAAAAACAGTGTTTTGAAATTAAATGGATGCTCTCGCTCTTACATTATTTATGCGAATTTTCATGCGAGCGAAAGAATGCTGAAGTGATATTTCCTGGTGCAATCTTGATTCAAATACCAAATAAATGTCAACCAAGTTTCACGGTATTTGTGACTTGGCAACAGTCGGAAAATGTTATCTTTGAACGTATATTTGGTTACGCTTTTTTTCTTACCGCGGTCGAAAGCAAAAATCCACTCGAACGGTTTGATTCATAAATGGAAAATTATATAACTCAATTTCAATCTCACTAGTATGTATATATCTATGTATGTGTGTGTAAGTGTGTGCGCGTGTGTAAAGTGTGTATATATTTGAGCATAAAATAAGATTTATTATAATTAAAAAATCCGTTGTTAAAACTTAAAAGTATGTGCATATGAAAAAATAAACTTGCCGTTACTATCCAGCTGGAGCATCGTCGGCATTTACGGTTAGCCAATAGCATCGTAGATCGAGAATCACGTAGATATATTTACAACTTGACAGTCACAAATAATGAGTAAGCCCGAAGGTCGTTGCCACCGCTTAACTTATTATACACAGATCGATATACTCTTCATTCATAACGTGACATTGACAACGTTAGTTACATATATTAGTGTTGCGGCCACACCCACAACGAATGTCAGTGCACCTCTTGAAAACTTTATTCCATGCAAAAAGTCACGTAGAGCACCTTTTCCACATTATAAAAATCGAAGAAACAGACATTAGCACGAATGCAATTCAAGCGTTGCTTGCACTGTACAGTTTAAATTTCGCGCCCTTTATGAAAGTACATTATTTTTTCTTTGTTTGATAGTTTTCGTTCTTTATATCTATTAGTCTGTTGTGAGGAATTTACAAGTTCACACTTGTTGATTGAACGTTATTTTCATGTGGCATCTGCGTGAGAAATAATGCGGATGCGTTAAATAATCACAGTTACAATCTCACTGCATATAGGTTATGACAGAGTCACTCACTTTATATTTCCTCATTGTTTTTTATCAAGGTTTAATGTAGCATATTATCTACAATAAATTAACAAAACTGATCCTTATCAAAGAATTATTTTTCACACATTTTTCATAATAAACGCAATCGTAGAAACTGCATTGCATTGTAATTGACGGTCATTATATATATATATATATATATATATATATATATATATATATAACCTTCTCTTTCTTCTCCAACACAAAAGTCGCCGAAGACGCACACACTCTCGCATATTCAATCAATACACGCGTGTGGACGACAGACACGGAGTCGTCGGCAACTTTTATCAAGAAGGGCGCTGCCGCCGCGTGGAAAGAATACAATCAAGCATAAAAAGAACAAAAAAGGATTCAAAGAAAGAAAAAGAAAAAAATAAGCGGTGCTTGCGTGCGAGAGGGGTGAGTTGATGCCAAGTGGCGAGTTGTCAATGAAAATCGATATCTTAGCTAAAGGGCATCAGCCGATTTGGATTGCTGCCCGGTGGGCCGCTGTAATACACACGAAATTTCTCGTTGATATCAGTTGGTGTTCTGTGGCCAACACCTTCTTACCTGTGTGTCTTCTTCGTCCAGAGCACTATCTTTCTCTCTGTCTCTCTCTTTCTCTCTTTCTCTCTCTCCTCTCTCTCTTTCTCTGCTTGGTGACTACTTTTCTGTGTGAGTCATCAAATCCTGCTCTCTTAGTAAGGTTTTGTTGACAGGAGTTTTGTTTATATGCACTCGTTTTGTCCAGTAACTTATGATTTTTGTGCTATTAATTATTTATTTATTTAATTATTTATTTTACACATAAAAATAAAATATCAAACTTAGTGTGATGGACCAAATGTTAAATTATCTCTGTCTCATTAAATAAGTTTTCAATAGAGTGTTAGCATTGATTACGCTATCAAATTGTTTCAGACTTCTGCCTCCACTAAAAAATCCACCATGACAACGGCAGCCAAGCTTTATGGTAAGGACCTCAGTGAGTATGATGATGTGGATGTTGACGAACTCCTAGCACAACTTACTCCAGAGGAAATCAACATTCTTGCAAAAGAAGTTGATCCAGATGTGAGTGTTGAAGTGTACAGATAAGTGAAATGAGAAAGTGCAGAGCAGAATTTATCCAAGTTTATTGATTTTATAGGACAGCTTTATGCCTCCATCTCAGCGCTGTAGTTACGAATGTACGAAGAGTCCAACGGGACCACTCAATCGCAAAAAGTTGATTGAGCACATTAACAAACAAGCATTAGAAACACCTGATATCCCTGAATTGAAACCTTATGTGCCTGGTACAGTTCGAGGGAAAAAGGTTGGTACATTATGTAATATTATTCTTACTAATTTTTTTTTTAATCAGCATTGAGGATTTATTTTTAAAATATTAATAAACTTAATATTAATTTAACTGGCATATAATGACTTTATACAAACTAGTAATATCTAGTATGCATGTTCTTGGTATATTTAAGTTTGACTAGATAGTTTTAATATCTTAGAGACCTATCTTAGGCTCAAAAGTAATGAAACGTCTTTTGAAGCTATTTTCCTCAAGCAACAAAAAATATTTTACCATTGACATATACAGCCGATATGATAAAATTTTTGTAAAAGTTTAATATCTAATTTGAATGCAGATAAGTTAATAAGTACTTTCACTTCTAGTGGGTGCCTCCAGTAAGAGAAAATTTGAAAGAAAAAGAAGCAGACGAACAAATTGCTATTGATCTTGGTGATGAATATGAACAAGCTTTAACAAATGCATCTGAAGATGAAATTATTGATTTAGCAGGTAAGAATTTATAAGTTTTTAAATGTTTGCTATCATCATTAGTCATCAATTTCAAGTTTCAATAACAATATCTCTTATATTAGCTATCCTTGGCTTCCATTCAATGATGAATCAAGATCAATATCATGCATCTCTGCTAAACTCTGGACAACCTCTTGGATTGGGATGGGATGGCATTACAAAAGCTAGTCAGCCAAAAGCTTTCCCTATTGATCCACCTAATGACACGGATGTTGACGATACCATTCGACGAGCTCGGGAAGATGATTCCAATCTGGTTGATCTTAATTGGAATAATATTAAGGTAAAGCAAGAATAATGAATTTAACTTTTCGAATATTATCCATATTGCTTTACAGTAATAATTTCATTTGTAAATACTTTTATGTTTGTGGAGTAAATTTGAAATTGAAAAATATCTATATTACGTTACACGCTAAATGTTTCCAATATACGAAGTGATTGAAACAAATGTCACTGTTAGACATTTTATTATCAGATCATTTGAATATATTTTTTATATAATAGTTTAATTTTAAAAAATGTACCGTGAAACTAATTTAAAAATAACCGGTCATTTTTTTCTTAACTCAAATGGTAACATTTTATATAAATACTTGATAAAATTCAATTAGTTATCTATTTTCAATTTCAATCACATGCAGAAAATTTTTTAACAGAAATATATGTACAACCGCGTAAAATTTGCTTTCACTTTTAATTGCTTAAAGACAAAATGATCTTACACATGAAAATTAATTTGTCATAAAATTTACAGAGTATTTCCGACGAAAAGTTCTTCCAACTATTCGAAGCCTTGGAAAACAATACACACCTCGAGACCCTGAGCTTAACGAACACGGGGCTCACAGACAAGACTGCGCAGAGATTGGCAGAAGCCATAGAAAAGAATTCTACTCTACGAGTTCTTAAGTAATAAGCTACATATTAATTTTTCAGTAAACGCATCTGTGAATGGTCATTATTTTCGTAAATTAGAAAACGATTGTATAAACTTCTAAAAAAATTGTTTTATGAAATTTATATGTTCTAATGTTTTATTGAAATTTAAAAATGAAATTCTTTATGTATCTTTTAATATCACCATAAAATTCTTATGAAATATTTAACGCAATAAATGATTTCAGTGTCGAAACAAATTTTATAAGCCCGCCTGTGATAGTGAAGCTCGTCCGAGCCCTTCTCAACACAAAATCCATTGAAGAGTTTAGATGTTCGAACCAGGTTTGCTATTGAATTTATCGCAATTATACTCTCGTTTAATTGAGGATAAGTGGCTAATATATTTCTATTTATTGCAGAGGTCTCAAGTATTGGGAAACAAAATCGAAATGGAAATAACGCAATTAGTGGAGCAGAATCCCTCGTTGCTGCGACTTGGTTTACACTTGGAATTCAATGATGCAAGACATCGAGTGGCAGCGCATCTTCAGCGAAATATCGATAGGAGTGAGTAGTTCAATTTTTTTCTTTTAATCTCAGAATATAAAATTATTTCACATAGAGGCCAAGCTGGTAAATCTGCCGCTGATCTTTATTTTCAGCCTCTTAACTGCCGTTCATCCATGATTCCAGACGATCGATCCGAATTCTTTATTTTTATTATTAGTTAAGCAATTTTAAAAATTCATTTTTTTCTCATCTCCCTTTATAGATGGGAGCAACTGCATGGCCGAACACGAGGATTACGCAACGAAATGCTTCAAAGTTCACTCAAACTCTTATTAATCGCTTCGATATAGTCTCACTTTAGCGCTTTATCATCTTGCCAAACCAAAAAAATCCATTTATTGACGATCTATAGGTAACTATGACATGATCCCCGAACCTCAAATACTCGAGTGTTTCGCGATCCCTCTTTTTCAAGGTCCTCGCAACCGAGTTTTTAACAGCTGAATTGGAGTGTTCCAAATTATCCTTGTATCAATTACTAAAGTTACAAATATTCAACTGATGTTGTTATCTTTTTCAGTAAAGCGAAAGAAAAACCGAGACGTTAGCGTTAATTATACCGGTAATTTGAATTTAACTTTGTGTCAAGGAGGAATTATATTCCCCTTGATCGCGAGTTTTTTGAATTGAACCCCTTTTTTAGATTTCACGCTTTGATCGCTTACAAGCTTCGTCCCTACAAATGTTCATGATATTCATCCTCGACAATAGACACAACACAAAACGAAAAGACTGACTTGGTTTGTTTTTGACGATAGTTATTCGATTGGCGCGCCTCCTAAAGATGCAGGAGGAACAGCAAACAACGCTGAGCGCTAATGCCGGTGGTTTCGTCGACATGCCCGCGATCCCAACTCCCAAGGCTCAAGCCGCATCTTAAAAACTTGAGTTTTTTTCTTTCTCTTCTCCCTTATGTTTCCGTGAGTAGCCGCGATATAAGTATCTCGTTTCTTAAAAATTGGAAATGTCTCGAGTATCGTCGAATTTGGTGTAACTATAGCCTATTATTTTCAAATGTTGTTCTCGTCCGACATTTTTTATCTTCGTTGACGTTGTTCTAAATCAGTGTAGGCAAAGTAACAAGAAACTTTTTTGACGTTAACAAATTTTTTAATCTCCTCAAAAAACATAAACAGCAAACAATGCTGTGGTCAATGCTGTGGCCCGACATGTATCTGTGCTGACTACAGCGTTGTTGGCTGTTTATTTTTTCTGAGGAAATTAACAAATCTGTTAACAAAACGTCAACAAGGTTTTTCTTTCTCTCTTTGCCCACACTGAACGAGAACAGTGTTAACGAAGAATTTTAGCCGACAATATCTCGAGACTTTTCTAAATAAATGTTTTACCTGGTCGCTTAACAAATGTACAAAAGTCAATGCAACGTATTTTGTCGTATAAATTTATTGTTTTTAACTGTTTAGTTTCAATGTTAGACCGTGAACGTTTTTGAATGTTTGAATGTCAAATGTCGCTGTTGTACAACAGTGTTATTATTATTTGTCCGAAAATTATTTAAATAAATTTTGAGAAATAAAAGAAGGAGTAACGTTTACCGAAAAAGACGTGTAGATACTGATGCTTTCCTAAGCCCCACTGGTCCCCCCACAAATGTCTCAGCTTGTCATCTTTCCACGATAAACACTAATAATTTTATATCTGTCCTGTGTGTATTCGCTTCAGTAACACACTATTCATATGATATAAACGACAAACAGAACAAGAAGCATTCCACGTATCTGTCACAACATGTGAAATATATATATATATATTTCTCCATTTCAGCTCTTCTATGAACGCGAAAGAATCTCAAAGCTACTATACGTCGCTTTGTATTTGCCTCTTGATATACGGGAAAAAAGTGCAAAAGTTTTGAGATTGTCTCGCGCATGACATAGCTTATACACTGAAAGATCTACAATGGGGGAAAATTAGTAAAATAGACATGGTTAGACTCACGACACTATGTATTTTTATTCTTTCCCAACAGTACGGAAAGACCTAACGTTGCGACTGCAGTTCCGATTCTTTAACATGAACCACAGGAAACCCGCCCTCATTAAGTGAAAGGTATATATACCTAAAGAGGATAAAGGCCTCGTCGAATATCTCGTTATAACCGAGTGAAATTTTCTCGCCAGTAATGCTTTCCTCTGGAATGGCGAGGCGAGCGGCTTTTACGTCTGCTTGGCTGTGCGCGCCAAAGCAGCGGCTCGCCCTCTGCCAAAACCTCCTCTTCGCTTTTGCGTGGATCTTATTATTGCCGAACGCAATCAGTCTTGCTGCTGCTTTCAATTTGCCGTCTTTATTGTTTACGCGCGCGAGCTTTTCACGTTTGGCGCTGCCGCTGCCGCCGCCGCCGCCGCCACTAACAATCAGCACACCGCGGCGAGACTCTCGCCTCTAATCTACTTCTCGAACGGACTCGCGAGCTTCTTGCCTCCTGCTCTGCGCCACGCGTTTCCACTGCTCCGCGCAGCGTGTTTGCGCCCGATGCGCAATTAGGCGACCAGCGAAAAGTCTTCGTTGTGGGATTATTGACGCGCGCGACAGAGAAACTTGTCGATTCCATTAAAAGATCAAACGAACGAGGGAGCGAAGGAAATAAAGAGGAAACGTGGAAAAAAAAAACGTGACAAGACTTAAACGCCGTTGACTTTCAAATTCGCTAATGGCCGGCAAATAAATTCGTGGAAATGAAATTTGCAACTTTTAACGAGCTCTTTTGACGGTTGCAAAGGTAAATAATGCAATCTCTCTGCCTCTTGTTAGCCACACTCGTCACGTGAACGTTGTTGTTGACTTTTTTTTGCCACGGAAGACTCGGTATACTATATATTTTTTTTTCAACTGTCACCAACGTTTCGCTTTCTGCTTACCAAATAGGGATGCGCGAACTCATTTTTTCTCTCTCGAATAGAACGCGCATTCGGAGTTTTATTTCGTCTGGATTAATCCTACGGCAATGCAATTTTAATTTCGCTTCCTTGTGTGAGAGTATCGACGAGTGAAATACCAATCAGCAGTTGGCAACAAAAAAAAAAGCGGAATGAATATTCGCATGCGAGAGTGTATCGTCTGAGAGGATCCTGTGTTTGAATTTTTTTTAGTGTGCAGTACGACGTTTTGATGCCTGCGCTTGACATGTATATGCATTTCTCCTACGACTAACAACACACACGCACACAAAGCCCATAACGAATCCATGAATCCATTACTACGTATGCTTCCCTTATTTTTCTCTTTTACAGTATGACAAGAAAGAAGTGTCGACTCGTCGAACTGTAAACGAACTAATAATCCCTTTGATGCGAGTGTGACGACTAACAGCAACTCGAGTGTGCCTATCTTCCTCTTTTGTTTCTAATGTGTCTTTGTGATCAGCAGCGTAGCGCATAGCTCTCTCGACGTGTATGTGCGAGCGGAAAAAAAAGAAGCTTCCATTGGTCTCTCTCTTGCAATTTTATACCACGGCAGCCGGATTAAGTCGAGTTTTCTCTTGGCTCTTCCGTTGCCTTTGTTCCTACATCGGTTCGACTCTTTTTTTTGTGTTTTTTGCTTTTTACGTGCCGTCGGCTCTTATTATATACGCGGCTTCTTCTTCCGCGATTCTCTTTTGACTCTTGTCAATGGAAATGTATAGGGCAAGCCGACGGATCCTTTCTGCTTTTCATTATTAATTGTTGAATCGGTATTTCTTTTAATTCTTTGATTTACGAATTCATAAAAATTAATGAATTTCAAAGCACGTCGAGAAGCTAAAATAATTGCTTCGTCGAAACGCGACATTCGACGAAGCAATCGGTCAAAAGCAATTTCAGGGTGTAATCTCTGGTGAAAAAGAACATCACTGAAATGCTTTTATGACAGGTGGCAATTAACAGCAGAGAGCGCGTATGAAATGCTAAGTGGTATTATTAACATGTGTTTTGGGGTGTCTGTTGCAGTACGGCAGTCCCGGCTCGGGGTGGCAGCATCCTAATTGCAATTGTGGCCCGTCTCTGCCTCGCCTAGGTGTATTTGTAAAACGTACGGAGAGGATGAAAAAAACAAACAGACGACCTATAAAAAATAAAGAAAAAACAAGAACTTCATTACTCTAGACACTCCTAATGCACCGCTGTATATACTCAAAGTCTTAGGCACACATAAACATATATATACATATATATACACATATATGTATGTATGTATATATAGATATATACACATACACACAAGAAGAGGAAAGACAAAAAAATAACAAAAGGAATTAGAAAAAAAACTTAAAAAAAAACAAATAACGAAATAATGATATATACATGATTGTATCAGCCTACTACTATGATCATCATTAACTTTTATCTTATTTAACGATTATACGGCAATTTACGCGCGCGCTTTGCATCGATCGAACGCTATAGTATATATTTTGCGAGAGGATGTATTATGCTCACATATATGTAGAGTCAAAGCTGCCTTCTTTGCGTATACACGACGACAGTAATAAGACTTGATTGCGATGTAATCCACCTGATCGTCGTTAGATTTTTTTAGAATACTCGAATGACATCGATGTGCAATTTTAAAATGCGTTTTATTCTTTGAATGAAGCAATGATTTCAAAAAACTGCACGTTCTGATTGAAATTTTAAATTTAGCACGAGATGGTAACATTTTAAGAAGCACATAAATGAACTATTATAATGTCGAACAGTCGATAGGATTCATCTTTGACTCGAATCAACGAAATTCACAAACATAAAGAGAACTGTATGGCATCGAGAAAGAGAGCTAGTCAATAACTTGTGTATTGTCAAAAAAAAATGTGGAAGCACTGCTCCGTCCTTGAGTGTCTATCAATTGTGTATTGTGTGCATTCTCCCGTTGTGTCTGCGTATCGTCGATCGTCAAGGAGCTTGCGATGTATTCGTCGATTTAAAGAATAGCAAAACAAAAACAATTTTTTTTCCATGTCTGTACATTTTGCATATCTGTTAATTTTTTTTCTTTCTTGGAATTTACTTTCGGTAGCGACGTCAAGGAAGAAATGAGAAAAATTAAAAAAAAAAAGGAAGTAATTAATTGTCGTATAATATTAATCAGGCTACTCTACTCAAGCTACATGTGCACAAGAAAAAAAAAATTGTTAAGTCGCTGACGCTCTGAATGTAAAGTTGAAAGTTGATCAAATTATTGTAAAAAACAATCGCCATTACTAATATTAGCTTATACGATTATTAATTTTAATTACGGATATAAGTGCATGCTTGTAACTTGCGTTTCTTGATTTTATATAAGTCGAAGTACTGTAATATGTTACGTTATTATTTTTATTGTAATTGTATGATAATTATTACTATTATAATTATAATTATTCAATGCGAATAAGAATTGTCTATACGTCTTTACTTTACATATTGCGTGAAGATTATTATTATAATTTCATGATGAGGAGAACATTTTATAACACTTTTGTCGCAGAATAAACGTATACGTTGTCTATGTCCCGTAGATTATTTGTCGTTCATTTCTCTTTTTATCCACACGCTGACAAATACTTCTTTTGTCTCCTAAGCAATAGCACATCACTTCATTCATAATTTTGCAGAAAAAAGAAAAGAAAAAAATTATGACTAACCAAAGCTATTGTATAAATTATTAGACTTCACTGTATGTATGATTTCGTCAAAGTTTCTCAAATATATAGAAAAAAATCAAATAATTAATTCTTATTTTATTGTCATGCCGCCCTACTATCTCACATCTGATCCCGTTTCAAAATAATTTTGAGTCCCATTGAAGGGTAAGAATATGGTAAATACAAAGAAATATTTTAAATTAAGTTAAATGTAAAATATCGATTAATATTTATATACGCCGACATTACTGAGGATGACGTTTATTTAGTATTATGCATTACAAGTAATTTAATAGGCTTCATTACAATTTATTCCTTTGACCGTGTGTAATATGAAAGTTTTGTTAAATTACTCATTTATCTTTCGAATAAAATGATCTGGTACAATAATTGATAAAAATATAATATTGAGCTTCATTCTCTCGCTATGTAATAAGTAAAATCAAAACGAACTATACGGAAACAGCTATAAAGAACAATATGAATTAAAAGCCGTCGCTAAGCAATATTCATAAACTCTAGGAAGCAACGAGGCTTTGAACACTTAATACGCGAGAGCCTCTCGCTCGCTGGTAGTAAAATCCTTTAAATTCTAAATCCTACCTCGCGAACCGTGAAAAAAGAAATACTCTCCGCGTAGGTCAGGAGAAAAAAAGCGAAGGTATATCGGAGGCTAATGAAAGGGAATTAAACAAAAGATATCGGCGCGACACAAAAAAAAAGAAAAATCCTTTTCAAGAATATGTGCGAGGTTTTGCTAATGGAAGGGAAAGGTTCGCCTGATAAATGTTTGTCTTTGATAACCGCAGGAAGTAATGCAATTTCGCCTGGCGGAGAATATAATTACTTGAAATGTCGGCGCGTCCATTGGCAATAACGAAATAAAGCGCTTCTTTGTGAAATAATATTCTGCGACAAAAGAGAACTCGTGATTAATTGCGTTTAGTCGGTTTCGCTATGAAAAAAAACTTATGTAAGCACACGTCACTGGTTGAAAAATCTCTTTCAACGAAGTTATTTCTTTTTTTTTTTTTTTCAACGGATAAGTAAATATTTTATACAAGAAAAGGCACTTTTTTTCATTGAAAATAAGCATCGTTATCGGAGTTACGTTTCTTTATGATGAATGTCGCCGCAGTGTCGCGTTGATTGAAATTCAATACATGAATGTAAGGATACTTTCGATATTTCATAAAGCAAAAATCGAACTGTTGTTAAGAAAGGAACAAAGAATGTTGATCATAAATAATGAAACCCTGAATATATTGTCAATGAAGTCTACAACGTCACCATTTTTTTTTAAATTTACTATTTTTATTATAATCTTGAAGTTAAAAACAATGAATTAAAGGCACTATTAAACTTGTCAATCTTTTCGTTCGTAACTTTATTTAAGTTTACAACACGGAATAATTTTAGTTCTATTACAACAGTATTTTTTTCTATTATTGTGTTCTGTCAATAGGCCGTATGGTGAGAATGAAACGACTTTTACGCAACTACACCGTTGAATATACCATCCCCTCAGTGAAAATTGACATGTTCTTGAACTGCAGTTTATCAAGCTAATTTTTTTATTTAAAAGTTTGTCAAATAACGATTGGGATAAATTGATGATTTATTCAATTCGTTGTGTTCATATACACATTGCCTTACTTTATATATATCTCAAAACATACCTGTACGTTATTACTATTTCTTTACCAATGCACTGATATATTTCAAGCACTCTCGAAATATGACTTTACCCATTATCTAATTTATTCTTATCTGAACACTACAAAAACTTTTTTTAAATTGCAGTATGTTTAAATAAAATATTTTTAATTTAAAAATATATTTTATTATTTTAAGAAAGGAATATCCTTCATTTAAAAAAAAAATTGTTTTCTCATCTATTTATTATCACATTCCCTTGTCAGGTATTAGCGACGTCTATGTACGCGTAAAATATTTTCCGTTAATATACATAATATATAAAATAGTTTTACATGAATTGCTCATACTTAATTACATACATTTGATAATAATGTGACTATAATTGGTTTCAAAATTTAATTAAATTTACATATTGGATCATATTGTAGCACTTTGTATTTCTTTAAAAGCTACTATTCATCTAAAGGAATATTATTCACGATCTTTTCAGTAGCGAAGTTTAATTCACTTTATATCGCGACAATAATAATTTCTCAAATGTTGCAAGTCATCGTGTTTCAACGTCAGTAGGTGCGTTATCGCGTGAATCATGAGCTTTGTTGTTGGAGCACGAAACTTTCGTCGCCCAGTGCTGCTGCTCACCTGACGCAAGAAGACCGTAGACGATTGCACCGACGATGTAAAAGCCGCTGGCTATAAGGAAGACAATTCGCCACTCGTCGGCCGTCTAAGGGGCAAACGCAGAAAAAAACAAGTTTCACAGCAGGGTTTAGTCGTCGACGCTGACGAGCCCTAAGTGATTTCGAGGAAGAAAGCCGCTGCTTTCGGAGTGCAAGCTTCTCGGAGACCGAATATTACCTTATCTCTGACAAGATGCCCAGTGAGTACGGGACTGATGATGCCGGGTAGAGTGGCCACGGTATTTCCAATGCCAAATAGAACGCTTGCGTGTCTCGGCGCAATGTCGAGGTAGTTGACACTGCCAAGGCAAGTCTAATGAGTGGAGTATACGTTGTGAAGCTGACGCGAGTTCGCGCGTGGACGTCGCGCCGCTACACTCACCAGAAACCGGACCACGCGAAGCCGCCGAGTCCAATGGCCAACGTGATACAGCTGACCGCCACCTCGGCTTTTAGGACGCAAGCCGTGCACGTCATGAAAATCGCTTGGCACACGAATGCCAAACACGTGAAGCTCTTGCGCACTTGGGTTGTGCCGAGAATTTCGCGCGCGCGCAGGCAGTCGGCTAACTGACCGGATATCACAAGCATCGTTGCCATCGCGAAGTAGGGCAGTGCCGACAAAAAGCCAGCTTTCTCGAGATCGAAGTCCAGTGCGTCTGTAAAGGCAAGTGCCGTGTTATTGAAAAAGACAAGATAGAACGACTCGAGCTGAACGATGACTCGCCATTCATGAATGTGGGCAACTGAGTTATCATTGTATAGAAGCCCCAGTTCTCACTGCAATGAGCAGTTATGATTGCCCAGACAGCCGGCGACGATAACATCGCTTTCCACGGATGTGAAATTTTCTGTATCACACGGGCCTTGTAAAGTATTTTATTTTTGAGCGTCGTATGAAAAAAGTACCCTTATTCGACATCAATCTTCAATGTTTAAACAGCGCCGTCCCCAAAATTTAATAGTGAACGCTCTCAATTTATCGAATTTATCGTTTAATGTAATCGCGTATCCACCCAAAAATTATTGGATGAATTACTGCACGTACTTATGGCACGTTTTTTTCTGCTCGTATTAGTGCTCATATTGATAAATAGAAAAAGAGGTAACTTTTGCAAACAAGAAGAGATAACGTTGCTTTGGATTCAAATTGAAAATACATGAGCTTCATCTTTTGTTTCATATTTCGACATTGTTGAATTCGCAAAACACACAAATACCCCTTCAATGCGTCGATTTTGTAGCTCCACTGACTATGAGCTTTTACACTGTGCTACAATTTTTAAAGCTCTGCTAGAATCAAGTTTTCAATCAGAAGATGAACCAAAATGTCCTTTCCAACGTATTTTGATTGGTAGGATTTAAATTTGAAGCCGGATTAACATCTTTTTTTTTATTATTATTTAATATTTTATTTTATTTTCTTTATAATTCCGAAGAATCGTGAAAAATCATTTTCTCGGTTATATCGATTTTAGCACTTAACTATATGAGAACGTAATCCAAATTGCTGCTAACAATATAAAGATTTTATAAAACTATAACAAATAATGGTACTTTTTTCATGGGATTGCTCATACGTATTATTCGAATCTCTAAACTCACGTTGTCGTCTACAGAACCAAGACTATCTTTGATGTATTTCAACTCAGCATCGCTGATACTATTGTCATCCTCGGGACGATCACTTACCACATAACACCAACAGACATACCAAATTAGACCCATTACGCCGAACACGTAAAAAAGACTCGACCAACCAAGTCGCTCGGCCATTATACTACAGATTGGCATAGCCAATACTGTACCGACGAAACTACCAGCGTACGCCAAGGTAGTCAGTCGTGAACGCTCAAGGGGTGGCGCCCAATTGGCCATTATTGCATTTATGGCTGGATAGGTCACTCCCTGAAAATTTCGATCGTTATTGTATCAGTTGGAGTTGATGCGAATGCCCATTGAGAATATTCACACTAATGCAGTGTTTGTTTATTAAAGTGCTTTCGGTAGATAATTTAGATAGACGAATGAATCAATGCTCAGTTGTCACTGGCAAATACATTATCATACACCGCCCGCACGTTACCTCGCGATTGGGGAAGTTCAATTCCGATATTATTTTCGACGATTGACCAGCGATGGCACCAAGTGGGATTTTTCTTTCTGGCAAGTTGCGGCGGCACAACTTGTCAAAATAAGCGTTTGGCCCAACCGCGTTCCGTGTCATCGAGGCTCAATCGTCGAAAATAATTCGGGTCTCGAACTTCTCGGCTCGCGAGTTAATGCCCGGCCAGTGTGCACATACTTCAACCTTGTTGAGTCTGTTCCACATCCTGGTTGACTACATATGCAGCTGGAGTACCTAGCATAGAAACAAACGCTTCTGTGTGTAACGTTTGCGATTTATTTGCGATGAAACCTGGGTTACCAGCAAACAGATATTCGAAAATTAAAAAAATAGCACAGACAATTCATTTGATCACGCGGGCATGTATTTTCATGTATATCAATTTAATCATCAATCTATACATTGGAAAGAGAATTGACGATCGATACGCAAATGAAAAATTACCTCGAATAGTCCTTCGATCACCCTGATAACGAGAAGCAAGTGAATGCTGAGCCGCGTCGCCGGTGGAGTGATACATGTGAAGAGCGCGGTGACAGCGATACCCAGGCCAAACACTCGTTTGCCACCGATACGGGCGGCAAGCCAACCGCCGACCAATGGTGTCGCTATGTAGCCGTAGAAAAATGAGCTCAACACGTAGCCTTGTAAGCGGGTGTCCCAATCAAATTCTCGGATCTACTTTAAAAGACGGATTTGAGTTTTCGTCGATACAATTGCGTTTATTATTCTTTTCCTTCGTGTGCGAAATAACCGAATTGAAAATCTTTAACAATAATGACCTACATTTGCACATGGTCTTAGTCAGTGCGATTAAAGGTCCGAATATTTCATAAAACAAGTTTAATTCAAACAAAAATCGAGTGTTCTCTGCAAATCAGATACACGTAATTAATACTGTCGTGCATATAGTATTCACAGGGAAATCACTCGAGCTACTTTAATTCTATTTTGCATGTCTACCATGCGTAAATATGCTAGTAATTGAGCTCATTTCACTTAAGTTATTTATTATATTTTATGGAAATTGGAATAATCAAAATTTTAATATAATCACAAAACAGATTATGTATTGATAAAATCTAATCTCCAGTCATTTTGATTTCTTGGAAAGACCGTCTAGCATTGCTGCAGTGTCATTGTTCGGTCATGCGATCATTATATACACTTTTCCTGTTAAAAGAATATGCTCCAAAAGAAATTCTTGAATTTAATATATGCATGATTTCATTTATTTTTAATTTAGATACTTTTTACAGCGAAACAAAAATTGCTATTCTTAAGTTTGAGATGTTTTTTTAATTAGTCTTTAACTACTTACGTAAGTGATATTTCCATATACATCAGTAACAGTCTGTTTTTCGGTCATTTTCACAATAGCAATACTCAAATTTACACGAAGTACATATATCATGAGAAAACCAAAAAATGCTAAAAAGGACACCATGTATCTCCTTGTATTCCAAAACATCCACGTAGCTGTCTGCATTTTGTTTCTTATTTAAATATACTATTGAATTTCATTTGACATTAGTTTACTCGTTCAAACACAAATTTTCCTCGAAATCTAATTGCTAACTGATACTCTCCGCCTAGTCTGCAGCCAGAAGTTACATATCAGTCAATATTTTCCAGGTAACCAATCGCAGTACGTTCAATTGTTGGGCAATTTTTTGCACGAATGTCCTGAGAAATAGCACACGCAACAACGAAAATCGCGCGACTGCTCGAAATCAACGTGAGGAGAAATGAAAATATTCCGGGCGGCTTATCGTAAGTCGCATGTTAAAGCTCAGCAAGAGTTGATCATGAGCAAATTAATCTGCATGGTAAATACAGTTGGATCAACAACGTCGCGCGATTAGAGTGTAGCGTTATGGAATTTGGATTATTACCAGTTTATAGCGACATATCTCAACGCTTTTTTTTAAGCTCAAGGTTACTTTGACATTGCATTCAATTGTACGCAAAGGGTAGAATTAAAAATTAAAATAATCAAACAATTTTTAATTTAATTTAATTAACAATTAATTTAATTTGCAACTATATTTTGAAATAATCAATACGAAATACTCAAAAAGACATTTTAATATATATTTACTGAAATACAGTTGTGATTTCAAAAGTGCACAATCGTGTAGTCGCAGCTGATTCTACTTAAAGGTAACGCATCCTTTAACTAACCTAGGAGCGTCGCCTCCCCTGTTACTGAACTTACCGTTGACTAATTAGTCTGCAGTCAGACTTTACATATCAGATGCAATTGAATATTTTCCAGGTAGCCAATCGCAGTACGTTCAATTGTTAATTATATTTTGGAATTATAAAAGTATACACCGTTAACTTATGCCTCCGTTGCATTCCGAACCACGAGAGTTGCAGTTTAACACATACATTTTTCTTTAAAGCAATTGGTACAAGTAATATAGTATACTGTTAATTTTTTTATTTTTATTCTATTATTTGCAAAGACCATTATAAAAATAACAAAGCAGTACTTTTCAAACATACTGTGATATTATACAATAACGATATTTTGTGATATTTTGTGTATGCTAAACGAACATGCAGTTATCCTCTAAGTGAAATTGGAAATATAAGGCGGTATAATACCAGAGCAATTAGCTCTGTCTGGCCAATCACAGACATTCAATTCTGCATTGAAGTGTAGCCTCTTGGGACATGAGATAACGATGGCACGGCCGTTGCTACACTCGCAGAATTTATCACAACGTATATTGGGCAAATAGATGGAATATCTTAGTGAGTCATGGGACGAGCACTCACCAATGCAGGTATTTGGATTTTGCGATGCTGGAGTTGTCGATCCTTCAGTTGAGTTTTGTGGCGTAGAACTTGTAGAAGGAGCAGTTATATTTTCTGATTCGGAAGTAATTGAGGTAATGTTTCGTAGGGAAGACTCGGTACCAGTTTCTGGTTTCGAAGTTGTTGAAACAACAGTTGATGATGAAGTTTCAGTTTCGTTTTCCGGTTCATTTTCTTCTTCTGTCGTTGAATTAATCGTAGTTCGTTCTGATGATTCATTCTCTTCTTTCAATTGCATCGTTGTCGAAACATCACCAGATTCTTCTGATTCTGAGGTAGCTGGAGACAAGGATTCTCGTTCTGATTCTGAAAGAATTGGAGTAGAGGATTTTTCTTTTGTCTCGGTTGGTGTTGAAGATGACGATTCTTCTTCAGGATCAAAAGGAACTGACGATGAAATCTTTTCTTTTGAATTTGAAGGAGCTGAAGATGAGGACTCTTCTTCTGGTCTTGATGAGGCTGAAGAAGACTCTTCTGGTTTGTCATTTTCTTTATCAGTTTCCTTTGGTTTCGAAGGAGCTGAAGTTGGAAAATCGTTTTCCGGTTTCGAAGAAGCTGGTGAGAAGGATTCTTTTTGTTCTCTCTCTTCTTCGCTCATCTCTATTTTCGAAGAAACGCCATCTAACTGCTTTTCTGAATTTTCTAACTCAAGGGGAATGGCTTCTATTAGACCTACGCGAATGCCATCAAAATTTTTGCTTTCGCCAGATGAGTTATTATTTCCCCCAAGACCAATGCTAATATCTCCTCCATTATCCATTCCTTCACTATCGATGTTAATGTCTTCGTCAGTACCAATTCCAATTAGGCGTGCTCGTTGCGGTCGAGTCTGTGTTTGACTAATCAAGCTGCTTCCAATCAATAAAGCTATCACTATCGCTAGTTTTGCTGAAACGTAACATTCTTATATTTATTTGCGTAGATATGATAAAAAGAAAAGTACTTCATATTACAACATTTATTTGTAAAAAAAATTTTTTTAGTATGTTTAGTTCACAATTTCTTACTTAAAAGTTTGATATTTTATGATGAAGGAATATTCGATAGATTATTAATCATATTTTTTAATTTTTAAAAGTATCGTTAATATTTTATGAATTCAATTAAACATTTTCCAATAATCGAACATTCCACAAATAACAAAATGGTTTAATACCTTCACCATCTAGAACACTTACTCTCCATTCTGATAGTCACAGCAATATCACGTGAAGTGACTTGAAACGACCTATAAACTAGGCTGTTACCGTGCCGCAGAGTCCCTTATAAAGACACTGCATCGTTATCAGGCCACTGGGGGAATTATCGTAGCATTCGCACGAAAGTCGCGCGCACGGGGTTATTTGCACAACATTTAAATGTTTTATCGTAATCCTTTACGAAGAAAGGAATATGGCAATTTTTTTTCTAACTCCAGGGTATTTCTCGTTAATGCTCTTGTGAATTCTAGGAAAATTCTCTATTCATATAAAATGGTTTAAATATATTTTTTTTTTTCATTTTATATGCGAATATTAAAAATGGTTCAATTTTTACAATCCTTTGAGTTGCTGTATATAAAGAAATGTTTTCGCGGATGCCTAATTAAATACATGATTGAAAAGACGTACATTTGATCTGTCATGTAGTATGAACGAATCACAATAATTTTTAGTATACACAGAAAGTAAATTATTTATTCAGAATCATAAGAAATTAATTCAATTTAAAATGAAAATACTACACGTATCGCTTAGTAAAATTAGACCACGCAAAGCAAATCACTCGTCTTATTGAGAAAAAATGTAATTTAAATGAAAATCGAAAAATTCAATGGCAATTCGAATTCATTGTAAATGTCAAATCAACGTGAATTTGCAAACGAGTCGAATTTCAGTGAAGCACACTTGACGAGAAATTCTCAGGAACGACGTCAAGCGGAAAAGGAAAAAAAAAAAGAGCAAGCGTCCGTTATCTGAAGATCAATTTGTACGCGATGAGCGTGAACTTGGTCCGTAACAAGGACACGTGCGAAGTGTTTGCTCACCTATATAATGCACTTTCGTCGTTGGTTTTATGACGCCAATCGAGCAATAATTGCGCAACGACTTGTCAGTCGGCGATAGAGCGGAAAATTAATACACGCCTCACGATTCTTGCTCTGTGGCTTTTCATCTGAAAAGAGGGAGAAAGAAAAAAAAAACAGAGCTTTATCCTTTCTTGTGCAGTGCTATCGCGGGGTACTAAATTCCGTAGAAAATGAGATTTGTAGTCCGGCAGATTAGCGGCCAGACTTTTCTATGGCATATTTCACTACTTACTCCTCTTCTCTCTCTGCTTGCTGTATTTTCCTTATATTTTTTCCGTGTATACTACCCCCACGTCAGCTCTCGGTCATGTTGTATACGGATGGTAGCGAGTGAGCTTGCTTTTATCGCAAATTATGACCTGCTTTTAAAACTAATCTAGTTTTATATACAACTCCCCTTGTTTTCTTTTTGGCTCCTACATATTTTAGCTCTCTATTATGTACAGTGAGGTAGCCTTTCTTTTCGATATTTTTCCGTTGAAGCTTGCAAGGTCACATTGTGAAAAGTGAAATTATTAGCGATGTCTCGACGGCAGCTATTCAAATTTAAATTTGCCAAATGCCGATACATCCGTTCGCATTATCTATACAGCATCCGATTACTAAAGCCACTAACCTGCCAGGGAAATGAGGGCTCCGCAAGCGCGTGTGCGTGTGTGCGTGTGTGCGTGTGCGCATGTGGATGCAGTGGAAAGCCGTAAACAAAGTCGAAATCAGATGGTCGGAGAGTGTACGTACGTACGTACGTACGTACGTATACGCGAGCGATGCAAGTGCTTTGACTATCGGTTAATTGTGGCCCTATAGCCTGGGCAAATCCAATATCGGAGCCTCGTCATATTCTCCCTCTGTTCCCCTACTCTCGCATTGCTTATTGTCTATACCGTTTCGACATTGAATCCGCCAGGGTATATCTGTACGAAACGATATTGCCGGGAGCACAAATTCACCTGAGAATTGTTACTGCGCTGGCGGTATCACGAGGAATAGACGAAAGGAAAAAGAAGAAAAGATGGGTTCTGCAAGTTTGCTCGGCGAGTAAATGCGATTATGTTTATGTCGGCTTGTTATCTTCGCCGAGTATTTGAATTTGCCCTGCTTTTTTTTTCAAGCGAGTAATGTATATTGATATTTTCCCGGAAGAACGTAAAAACGTAACTGACTGTCGAAATGGCTTTTATCAATATCTGCATAGCAGAACTAGATTTCCATTCGAGATAAGTTTCGACGACAAGTTTACGTCTTCGATAACTGCCTTTCTATACAAGGAAGCTGGGCAATCTTAAGTTTTCATATATACGCTGTGACTTTTCAGTACAGGTGAGACATACAAATTGCGCGTAGCAATGAACGTGTTTCACTTGGCAAATTTTTCTACGGGTATAGTATCAAAGTACGTTTTTAAATAATACATGGTTCGAGGATAATTTTTATAAAGTTCTTTTTTATAGCAATCATTGCTATAATTTGTTAAATAAAAATAAAGGTTGTATGCGATTTTACGTTCTGATCAATCAAACTTCACAAAGATTACATATAATTAACATTTATGAGGTCACTTTGTTTCAGCATTAATTAGCTGATAGTTAAATAATGAAAAGGATTGATAAATGAAACGTGCAATTTTAATAATTAGTTGACTTTTGTTACGTTACAGGATGACTGGTCTGTGTAATAAGAAGCGATTTAATTGAGCTCTTATTATATTTCAAAGCAGACCGTCCCTTTTATACGAGAATAAGTTTTGTTAAACAAAAGTATTAATTAATTATACGCAGTATGATTACAGTAGAAAGTATCATAAATTTTCAAAGATCATCCCTTCTTTCGATCAACTTTCAGTCAGAAGCACTTTTAATTTATTGTAACTTAAGTGGAACACTACCGCCTGAACGGTACACAAACATATTATTTTTCGATGCTTAACGGGCAATGCGACAAATTTTCTCGACGTGCTCTCGCCATTACTATGATAAAATTTGTACTTCTAAAAAGAGTATCCTACGATTACTACGTTTCGCAGTAATCTTTATTGTGTATTATAGCAAATTTCTTTCTTTTCTATACGATAATTGTTCAGTAATTCTGTGCCCGTGTAGTAACGGCTATAGAAGTGTCCACACCGACCGCGACGACCACAGTTGAATGTGGTTTCGAAATTCTGCAAGATTTTCACTAGTAACGTAGTGTACCTAGTACCGTGAAATCGTGGATAAATGTAAACAGAGCGTCCAGCAAAACCATTGAAACTTTATACAGAGAAGCGTCGTGAAGGTACTCGACTAGAATAGATGGTAGAAAATCATCTTGAGTTTCAGGAATATACTACTAGTTACATAAAAAAATGTGACAAGTCAAACGAATAATTTTTATAACTGATCGAATTTGCTCAAAATACTAAATAAATTCATTATTATATGCAATTATTTAGAAAATGTTGTGAATAATTAACATGAAACATTCAATGACAAGAATATCAAAGTATATTTTCAGCTAATTTATCATTCATATATCGTATTAATGCTGAAGATAAATTAAGATAATCATTTCAGAACACTTTTTTAGGGCAATCATGAGGTATTAAAATTTTTCGAATCTTTAAATCCTGGATTGTAAAGTGTCGTTGGCCTATGGGCAACACTACCAGTTTTTCTTCGCTATAGGCCTGGTAACGATCTGCGTTGCTGTAAAAATACGATTGTAAAACTTAAAAATCGATCAATCGAAGATTAATGTACGTATTTCATAATCAATATATAAACCTTCGTATTTATGTGCTATTTACGGATTGTCATAGTAATTTATAATATGATCGATGAATACTCGCGTAATTAACACTGCAAATGGTTTATTGAATATTTTTTTTAGCATACCTTGAACAAACTTTAGTACACACTCCTTGGCGAAAACCTGGTATGTTAACTACGTAAAAGAATTGTTCGTGATGACGATTATAACCTTCTAGCGGATAGGTAAGTTTCCTCTAAAAATTTGATTTTATAGAAGTTATTATGCTACAGAATAAGCAATAAGCGGAAAAAGGAATACGAATATTTTTGTAGCTTACATGTCCTGTGCACCTGCCGTGCGTACTCAGAGGAACCTCCGAATCGAGTATTTTCGAATCGAACGACTTTAAATCCATACGTCTGTTCTCAAATAGAACACTTGGACTTCCTGACTAAATTTCAGAACAAAACTTTTTAAATCTGAGTGGTTTTTAATCCACCTTGATATTAAAAAAAAAACCAATTACATATGGATTCGAAAGGAAACCTAGATGAAATAAATCTTTTTTCTATCGTATTTGACGATTTAAAAAGTTGGTTTTACACGATGATGGACAAAAAAATGTATTGACCTTCAAAATTTCGCGAGACTCATCGACCACTTTAGCCATCGCGGCTGCCGGATAATGTGGCGAGTTGGTGCATATAACCTGTTCACAGCTAGTGTCTAAAACAGGTAAAGAATTTTCGATTCTTTCGGCCTTCCGCTGACTTTTGACCAAGGGATCAACTTGTTTTTTAGGCATCTGTGTTTTCCAATCTTGAGCTGGAGAAAACGGCTAAAATCATAAGGTACTTTAGATCTCGGTAATTTGAACGATTATATTTATTCAACTTTCTTCAAAGCGAATGGAAGATATAAGTACACGTGAAACGAATTTTTTTTGTATTTATATTTATTCGTTACATGAAATTGTCATGTGTAATTTGAATACTTTATCGGATTATACGTTAAAAGATACTTTCTTTATTAATTCTTTTGCATTTAATTTATAACGAATGACTTACCGCAAAGAAAAGCAACAAGGTGATCAGCAAAACGTTCGCGATCAGAAATCGAGTCATTTTCGTAGATAATAAGTGACTTTTCTATGAAATGTGACAACTATCGAATGCGAGTATAACACATAATTTCCAAGGTTTTATTCAATTTCTAGCATGCAGAAATTCTTATCAATCAAACTTCCGCAAAACAAAAGAATCACATATACCAATCACATACGAGGTCATTCTATTTCACTGTTAATTAGTTGCTAGTTAAATAACGAAAAGACTTGATAAAAGGCATTTATAACATTTTAACGGTTAGTTTTCCGAATTACCGGATAATTTATTGCGAGGAAGTATAATTAGAAAGAAGATAGCTGAACATTTAAAAAATTATATTCACTAACTAGGTGCAGTCATATTAAATCAATTCACAGTAAAAAGTATAAAAAATTACCAAAAAACAAAAGTTGTTTTATTGTGATCAATGTGACTGGCACAAACAACTTGATAGTATTCAAAAGTTTTTTTCTTTCATTATCAAATTAATATTTAATAACGTTATAATGACGTAATAATTTCAAAGATATAGAACTAACGTTTACTCCATAAAAATTGTTATATATTGAGTTAGAGAATGTAGCGGAGAATGATCATTCCTCGAAATTTAGATACTCCCTTTTCCACGATAACTGTTCAGTAATTTTGTGCTAAAGATCTTTAGAACTATTCACGCCGACCGCATCGACCACAACCGTACGTGGTTTCGAAAATTTGCAAGATTTTCACGGTTTTCGAGTTACGTAATACTGCAAAATTATATACTGATGAAAACTGAACATCTAGCAAAGAACGGTAAAGATAAAAAGATAATAAAGCGTCGTTAAAGTAATAACTTTAAATTAAACTTTTTACTCGCTATAATCAAGAATAATAAAACGAATAACATTGATTGCATTCTCAACATTTTGATAGGAGAAGTCGATGTAATTTCTCGCAGAAAGTAGGCACCAAACAGATAATATTTTTTCGAAGTATCTAAAAGACATTTAGTTATTTTAATGAGCATCACACATAATTATCATTGCACTTTTTGAAATATAGAAGAGTAGCTTCATTAAAAACTGATGAATTTCTATTTCCTTGCAATTCATTACTCGATGAAAGTTCTTCGCTTTCTTTTTTCATTAGTTACAATATAATACAATCACAATATTTGACGTAAAAGTGAGTTCGATTAACGCACTATACAAATCAATATATTTTATTACATAAAACAAACTTAAATACGAACCGTGAATAAGAAGCAGTGTAGATGCAAGTCGTTGACACATGGAATTTTCATTTTGAAGTCTTTCACGCCAAACTTACTCTTCCCGCTTACTCCACTATTTAACTACTTATTCTAATCAAAAGTGTGAAAAATAAACATTGCATCGCTGAAAAACCTTTCGCACTCAATGCTAGTTTAGCTTAACCGAACGTCGATCGTATAAAGGGCCTTTTAATATTTTTTAGCAAATGCAGTGTTGAATATGTGCCATAAACTGTTATTTATCGAAACTACTTAATAACGTGAGATTGAATTGACAATCTATATTATTGATTTTACTGTACACATGAAGCGACAGGTAAGAAATGAAAACACAGGTTACAATATTAGTGCAATATTGTTTTTATCGCTTTTATAAATAAATGAAAAGTGATAAATTTCAAGGAGTCGGAATGCAAGCGCAGCCCGTGGGGACATAGACTGGTTTGAGCTCGAAATCCTCCACGTCGAAGTGGCGCTTGCCAATCGGTAACACGACAAGTTTTTCCTCGCGGTACATTTGACGGCAGGTTCGGCTTGCATCTAGCAAGTCATTGCCTTTGATGCACATTTGGCTGTTGCCGCTGAAAGAGATGAACGGGAAATGAGAATTTTTTCGTTTAGAACGCGCGCTGACATTGACTTTTCGACGCTCTGGTTGGTGCGCTTGCGATGACAGCGAGCAGAAAAGGAGTCCGTACGAACCTCTCGCACACCATTTGAGTCAAACCCCTGTACGCAGTTGGCACGTTGACAACGTAGTAGACCCTTCCGTCCTCGCTGCTCTGACCTTCTTGCGGATAAATCGTGTTTATCTGCGAATCGCACGTGCACGCTTGTTACTCGGACAAATTGAGAAATCGAAAATCCATTGTCGTAACTCACGCGCTCTTTACAGTCAGTAGTTTCATCGAGGAATTCGTGATCGGGGGCGCGTTCGCCATACCAAAAACTGTCGTATTTCGAAGTGAAGTTACCGTAGCTCAATCCTTTCCGTTGGAGCGCAATTATTGTATCACCAGGCTGGATTTAGAACACACGTCGATTCTTATTTCTGCATTGTTACTCGTATACAAGGAAAATAGATTCCGCTTGATAAAAAGAAGAAAGAATATCGTACTCTCAAGATATTGCGGACGCGATCTAGCGCACCATTGATTTCTTCCAATGGGTAATTCAGTATGTTGGCGCACAGTGTCCTTCCGCAGCTAGTTTGTGGGACTGCCAATTCATATTCTGGTACCTATAACCTTCCTTTGCGTGAGTAATGTAATGAATATGATATAAGGAGGCACGATTGCATTACCAAGAGTTTGTCGGCGGGACTGGTCGTAACGTGCTTACGATTAGCTGGAATAGAGTCATGGTAGCGCGGATCGTTGAAGTGATAACGGTATCGGTGTCTTGGTTTACGTTCTTCGCTATGACTGCTGCATCCAAAAGTCGCGCCGATCAGCTGTAAGAACTTCAGAATTTTCATCGAGATGTAATACTTTGACCAGTTTCTAAAAATTATAATATTTTTACCGAATAAATGACTCTGACGAGAAAATACTATGTTTCCAATAACTTCTCACATTTCACTATCTTTTATAATTTCATTTAACGAATGCTGAAAAGTTACAGTAGAATCGGTGATCGCATATCTAGCTAAATTTAAATTATTACGTGGACCGATTTATATGTGGTATAATAAATTATCATCTACTATTAGACGCTAAAAATAACTAATTCAGTATGACAAGTACTGCAAAGTACCTGCAGAGTATAAAAGATCTGTACGCAGAGTAAAGTAAGATAGGAATTACATACCGTAACTACAATTAACAAAGTCCATGACAAGAATGCTGTCTTTGAACGGAGCTTTGCCATTGTTGTCTACTGTTATTGATTACTTGTTGACTAATGAAAATCTTTTTGTCTCGTATAGGAAAATGTAACCTCTTTCGTTAATGACACACGGAAAACCTTATCGTTTCATTTCCATTTCCCGAGTTGTTGATAAGTATGATATTGTGTATACGACATCGGATATGCTCGTAGTGATATCGTTTATTTTTATAGCCTCGTACGTATGTTCTTTTTGCAATTCTTTATTCGTCGTAAATTTTTACGAAAATTTCTTTGTATTAATATTTACAATTTCGTACACTTTCATCATTGTTCTTGATACTAAACACCATAACAAAACGGCCTAAACTAGAAATTATCGATATCCAAGTAACTTTCACTATAATCGATAAGGAGTTTCGTCTCTCGTTACACTTGGCAGGAGTTTCTAGTTTACGGCAATAATACGTCAACTTATGGCTGCGGCTTTAATCGTATCTATAAAATGTTTGTTAAACGAAATATCCTTTTATTTAAAACACCTTGATTTCGTTCAATCAGATAATTCAATTTCGATTAATTTGTTTTGTTGTTTCGTAAGAGCCATTACGTTTGAACTTGACTTTTCTCAAGCATATTTCACACAATCTGATGTTTTGTGACTCGTGTTTTTCATGGCCAATGAATTTTGAACACAGATGTTTTTGTTGAGAATTTGACTACGAAATTTAATAGCAATAAAAACCGAAGTTCTCAAGAGCTTCATTTTAACACATGATATATTTCATAATTCAATGAGTTAGTTGCAATTACAACGTAATCACGATAATATCGCAATTTAGTATGGCCTACTCTCCCACATACAATAGCAGCCTGATGCCACATAGAACGTTCTGAGCTGAAAGTCATTGACATCGAAGTAGTCTTTACCAAAGGGCACTGCTAGAAGCACTTCCTTGCGGTACACTTGCTGACAGGATTGAACTCCTGACATTGGTGCACTATTTCTTTGGTTGCAGATCTGTCGGTTGCCACTGTGAATGATCATAATTCAATATTACAGATAGAAAAAATTGAAATATGTGATGGTAAGTTATAAATTACCTATCGCACTCGATACTGGTAATAGTCTGGTCGAGACCTGGTATATTAATCAGATAATAAATCTGATTCGTGTCGCTGCTCAAGCCTTCGTGGGGATAAACTGAATTTGTCTGAAAAGTTTTCATCAACTTTCAACCTACGTCATTACTATATCATTTACGAATAATCTACTCTACTTACGTTCGTCCTGCAAGAGCTCGATGTATTTGTACCGCGATTGCTGGATGATGCATTGGAACCGACATTTCTTCTCGAAGTGAAAGTTTGAAGGCTCAATCCTTTGTTCCTTAATACATTAGCATTTCCAGACTGAACGTGAAATGTGCGTTTGAAGTATTGTAATGAGTATTCTATTAATGCAACGCGCTTAAATTATGTTTCTTCTTGATACATACCCTCAACACATCACGAGCTCGATCGACTGCATTGCCTATTTCTTTGGTCGGATAATTTGGCACGTAGGAACACAGGGTTTTACCGCAAGTAGTTCTTGGAATTGGTAAATTACTTTGTGATACCTAAAAAAAATAATATTCATTAATATAATTGCATGAAATAATGAAATTTCGTAAAAATGTCGTTACCAAATCGGTAGGAAGTTGATTGTCATATGGATTATGCACACTGAAACTGGAATAGTTTCTGTTTGGATAACGATTGGCAGGTGGATAGCTATTATTGGGGTTCACATTCCCATTGCCCCATTTGATGTTTGGGATGTAAGTGCCATTGTAGCGTATATTTTTATGATAATGAGGAGAAAAGCCAGGATCTATTTGATTTGGATTGGTAAAGTCTAGTATTGGATATAGTCGGCTTCCCGAGCCAGACTGGTAATTAGAGTTGTTGTTGATTTGAGGATTTGAATAATTAGAGAGGTTATAATAGTTCCAGTTAGTCTTGTTGGTTACATGACGTCTCTTTACGGGATGATGGCTTCGACCATATACAAACTCGTTACCGAAGAACTGCAAGGATTAAAATGTGACTTTGTAAGATTATTTTTATGTAACTTTTACGTACCAGGATGACGATGAACAAAGTACAGAAAATAAATCTGAATCTCGAGTGTGACTTATGCATATTGGAATGCTTGCTATTGCGAATGAGTATCAGATAAACGAAAATTTGCATTTATCCAACATAACGACCTTCTGCTTATAATTATATGCGGTGCTGAATATCAATGCACTTCCCGGGAATATACTATATATGTTATGTGACGGATGTCACGTTGATAAAAAAATTTAGTTTTTATAATACTTTTAATTGGCACTAGTCTCCTGAGCACACAGAACGTCATGATAAAGATAGTGTTGCAGGATATATGTGGTTTTGTAACAAGGAATTCAGTACAGAAAATTTAATGTCGATAATTTTTTTTTCTTCAATAAGTTTAATTACACATTTTTGTGGTTTATTATGAATTTATTTAAGAGAAAGCAAAGTAATTTATCCACGGAGAAAAATTTCCAATTATGAGTATTACTGAAAGTATTGTAACCATAATATTTCTTTGTCTACAAGAAGGTGTAGATAATACCTTTTTGAAGCAGTAAAATTTTAGTTGCTATTTATTATTATAGAGTGTATTTGATTCTCAAAAATAACTCAAGTTAAAATGTAAAAGCCATCACAGAAAACAGAAAAAATGAATATGTTTCGTCCGAAGTCTCTCGTCTAAACTCATCAGTGGGCCATGAGTGACTCTAGTCGTAGATATATGACTCAGCAAACAACAAGAGTAGTCTAAAAAGTCAGTCCAATCCAGTTTCAACTATTTCCGTAATGATCAAGCATCATTCTATAAATCGATTTTCTTATCATATTTATGTCTTCCTTTTCTTACTAAAAATCTTTATATGTAGCCGTAGCTGTGCAACAATATGTTTAATAAAATTATAAAAGGTTATAAAGTTTTAGAAAATTAGCTAATAGTATATTATAATATATAGGATGAAAAATAATCTTGTAACAAGAGTTCTTCTTGTATATTCTTCTCAAAAAAGTGCGGAAGACAAATTTTGCTCCTTTTAAAGAAGACTAGTCAAGAAGGCTGACATCAAGAAAACCATCATTCTTAGTGTAGAAAATTAATATAAAATAAAGTGAATTGAATGAAGGATATGGTTAAAAGATATAAAAATCTTATTCCAACTATAAAATATCAACTTAATTTGATTGAATCCATTTTTAATGGATATATTTGGGATATATTTGTAAGAAAAAGTACATCGATATGTTTATTCAAACGAACTCACAAATAAATAAAACATTCAACATAATTTTACGACTACTCGAAGATATTGTTAAAAGATTTTTTCACATATGGATAATTTTGAATTTGTTGATCACAGTCTATATAATCCTATTTTCATTCTCTTTGATACGTGGATGGGAAGCACGTACACGAGTCTGGCACGTAAAATTCTCTAACTTGGAAATCCTCAACATCGAAGTGACGTTTATTCATCGGTAGCACAACGAATTTCTTCATGCCATACTTTTGTTGACACAATCTGATAGAGTCTGAAGCTCCGACAGCCCTGTCTTTCGGACAAGCTTGATCAACACTATTAACATAAAATTAAATTGATTATTGTTTTATGAAAAGAAAAAAACATGAATAGAAATTCATCTTGGTCTTACTTGACGCAGTTGTATTCGATGAAACTTTGTCGGAGATTGGGAACATTGACCACGTAATAGTTTTGATGATCGACTATAGGATTTCCTACGCGTGGAAAATTAACGTGAGCCTGAAACAATAATTTACTCTGTCGTATTATTACGATAAAACAAAAAATCTTTATCTTTCGAAATACGTAATTACGTGTTGTTTGCAGCCCGAAGAAAGATCAGAAAAGTACCAATGATCACGAGGTCGTCTGGAAAGTGTTTTGCTACGCTCCGAGGTAACGAAGTGATCGTGACTTATGCCTTGATCAATGAAATAATTACCGCCAGACTAGAGAAATAGATACATTCCATTGTTTAGTAGACTGTGAATAAATAGTTACTTATTTTTTTTTAAATTGACAAATGTTATTTACTCGCAAATACGATTGTAGCCTATCGACTGCATCGATTATTTCGTCCATTGGATAGTTTATCATTTTTGGGCATAATCTTTTGCCGCAGTTGGTATTTGAAGATTCATAAAGATCATATCCTATCTATGTCAGAAAATAATGTAATGCTTTTTGTTATTGCAAAAATGTTGTAAACGATTGAAAAGAACACTGAGCTGACCTCATTAAATTCATTATCGTCAACGCTCCTTTTGCCGTAGTAACGTTCTGTGGTTGTTCCGTAATGATGGTAATAATGATGACGACGTCTGTGGGAGTGACGTCTCCGACCGCAGCACGATGCACTTTCAAACAGCTACGACGTGAACATGAAAAAGTAATAAAAATAATTCCGTTAACACATTTGACTACAATAAAATTTTACCTCTCCTATGATGACATAATTATAAAAACTCACTGTTGCAATTAACAAGGAGGCGAGTAATAAAAATTGCAGCTTTAAAAAGTGCGACGGAGTCATTTTGTCCGAGAGAAAGCTGATGCTCCAACAGAACAATCATTTTCGTCGAACAACGCCTAGTCTTATTTAAAATTGCCAGCCGGTGATACAGTGGAATTAATTATTGACGTTGCCGGAAAGTAGAGAATACCTAATCGCACAACTTTTGATAAGACTCGTTCTACCGTTTCATGTGATTATGTGTGCTCATTACTACGGAATGATAATTTTTTCATCGATTCGTTAGCATCTAAGCAATGGAAATATTTCGTCCTTGAATGCGAACGACTATAATTATTGTTTAAAAAAATGTTCTTTTACAGAATCTATTGTAGCGAGTTATACCAAAAACAACGAAAATATCGTTATTATTGGAAGATACGCTTTCTAAATATTCCAACTCGCAAATTAAAACTTCTAGTCTGATATTTTTCTGCTATTTTGGATTGGTCATAGTGAATATTATTACAATATACAGGTATATTGATAATAAAGATGATAATTTAGATATATGCACGGTGCTCACGGCGATGACATTAAATCTAAACGATATATTGTTTACTTTTGACGTCCGGTTTACGATTTTTAGCTGATTATTTTTGAGTTTAGCTATTTTGATCAGCTCAATAATACTGGAAGACGGATTTTTTCCAAACTTTGTACAACTATTATATATATAGAGGTCATCATTTTCCAACGTTTTAACGGCAAAATATTAATTAGATCAAAAGTTATTAACTTTAAAAAAATAATGAAAACTTAACAAAAGGCTATATTTTGAAAACTAATAAAGATATTGGGATTAAATTTTTTTTCAAATACATGTAAAACTTTGAGCTTTGAACATATTTGTAACGATAAACGATAATTTTTTATTAGAAGAAATTATTAACTTCTTTCCTAACACGTGTCATCGATTAAAAGAAGGCGCACTGTCGTCCCTCCGAACGCTAACCTCGTACTGCACGGCGGAGCAACTGCTTTTAATCGGGGTATTTGAAAATTATAGATATTTAGTACAAATTATGCTTCAAGTTATATTTAATTTTACGAAAATATGCCAGTTTTACATTAAGAATACGATAATTAAACGATAATAATACTTTCTATCTGCGTGTAATCGGACTTGAGACCGACGTTTTTTAAATTGCGGCCTCATTAAAAATATTTTATCAATCAATACAAAATAGTATAAACAACACAATAATAATAATAATAATATATAGGAACAATCATATTTATTTATTTTTAATTACTTACAAACTATCTTTTTTTCATATTCGATAGACTGTAAAAATCTTTTACATTTAAGTCTTAATTTACGTTCACCACTTATGAGAATGAAGGCGTGAAACGATTATGTATTTGATACCGTTACAGCTTTTTCGAATCTATATTTTGATTCTATTTCAATTGTCTCGTGGTCTTTATTACTACAGCTCGTAAAACTAGTTTTAGACATCGCTTGCAGTGTCCATTCATATAACTTCATTACTTATAATCTTACCTTTCATGCTAGCATTTCGAGGAAGCCTTTTCACTTATCCTTCAATTCCATTGCAAGCACTTTTGCCATGACAGCTCGCGAAAAAATGCCACTCAGTTGTTATTCCGTAATCGCTATATTGGCTAGTTGAATTAATAAAATTAAATTAATTTTTGTATTGGCTCGCTGCTCCATCTGATACGTATATTATTTTTTCAACCGTATTTTTGTATTTTTTATTTAAATATTCTATAGCTTTTCTTAGAAACAAGACTACAGTATTTTTGTCAGCTTTAAATATTCCAAAATAATTACTAAACTTGTTTAATTTTGCTATCTATTTTATTACGAAATAAAAATGAATGAACAGTTGTTTGATCATTGTAATAATAGGTTGCTTAAATCGTGTCTTGGAATTCAGTCTCGTAATTTTCTGAAGAGTCGAGTTTGCTATAACTTCATTATCTTTTAAAGTTGCTTTACAACTTATTACGAATTCATTCTAGCTTTTTGCATTACAAACGAACCTATAAACAATACTTTTAATTTTTTACCAAAATCCTCTCTGGATAATAGAACGTCCATAAGATTAAATCTTGATTCTTTTTCTCCCTTCACGGCTATATTTTTCCATTTCTTGAATTTAATATCATAAATTGAATTATCTATAAAATAATCAAGTAATTTACAAGTAACAATATTGAAGCCAGAGTATTCGCAACACGCATTAAATATACACTTTTCGGTTACATCTTCGCATAATGATTGTTCAAAAATTTCGCGTATTTTCAACTAAACTGTGTAATTGCCTTTTATTTTACGGCGTTCAATATTAGCTTTACATTTTGATACATAGGTACAAATATATACATAGGTTATATACATAGGTAACTATTATGAAATCTTTATTGAATCATTCATCAAAATACAATCTTTTGGTCGAAAAGTGCAAAATAAGGAGGCCTATTTGAACGTTAGGATATTGATTCTTAAAAAGTCCGAAAGCCTCATAAAACATAGGAAGCTAGTAACCACGATCCATAATTATGCAACTGTTTTATTATTATTTAATTATTATACTCTTAATGGAAAAATATGATATTTTCATAAAATTAAATTCAAGTCATAGCATAATTTGTACTGAACCTAAATAACTATAAAATACTTTTATGACTTTGAAAATCACTTTATGACTTTGAAAGTCATAAACATGACAGCTTTTATGAATTTTAATGAGACAGATCGATCAAAGTTGAGGTAAAAAACCCTAAGATGAGATGACGATTTTTCAAACGCTCGAAATTTTATTAAATTCTTATTAATTTATTATTGTGTATTAGTTTAAATAATTTTTCAGGGCTGTTGTTGCACAGATGTATTAGTCGCCATACCCACTTCACATTGAAAATATAATACTATAAGTATTTTTATTTGGTTCTTTTTTTTCAATTGTTCCTTGAAGTGTTCGACCTGCCCGGGTCTTCCCTAAAAGAAAAAAGATATCTTACACAGATGAGAATTGACACGATTCAAAGTCATTTTAAACATGAACATAGTCAATTTAAACCACAAGCATTTCGCTTTACATGGAAATCCTCTACGTCGAAATAGCGTTTACCCATCGACAGAACCACAAACTCCTCTTTATGCGGTATTGTAGCTGGCAGGAGTTTGATACTTGTTAACTGAATCGGTATATTGCTCTTAACCTATCTGTTTCAAATACATGTTCGTGATTGTGTTTAGTGGATAAATGACATTGCATTATAGTAGACTGCAAATCTCTATTTCGCCTTTCTAAGTTGATAATCTTCAACAACAAGTAATTTAATGAATTACTTCAAATTTGCTGAAATTTGTCATTCGGTAGGCCTCCATTAAAACAAATCAGTAGACTTGAGTGCTTTTATTACTCTCATAATATTGCATTATTGCTCGATTAAATTACTCGATTGAATTATTTTTATTATGTGAACAAAATTTTATTTATAACTTATAAATTTTAGATAATTGTAATAAATATTATAATTATATATAGTAGGAAAGAGTTTTTTCTATCACCTAACGAAATGGCAATTCTTTATTAATTTTTAGACGAAACAATTAAGTTTATAAGAAATTAATAATAACACTGTATATAATAATAATAATAATATAAATAATAGTAAGATGTTAATCTAGACTAATACCTATATTATGCAAATTATAGGCTATCCACAAAACAACGTCTCATTAATTTTTGTGACTGCAATTTTTATTTCAAGTTACTGATGATAGATGGAAATAAATATAATAAACTTTTTAATAATGCCCATATGCAGAGCGTGGGCCCACATCAGAGATTACTCAAATCTATCCAAAATAGTTTTTCACAATAGTTGATATTATTACGAACGTCTAAAAACGTTGGTATTGTCTGTATATATGAAACAAATGCAACCATTGGACACTCTAAATTGTCACATACAAAAGTCGCTAATGTCAAGTTGGGTGTCGCTTGATAGAACCAGTAGTTTTTCATCTGTAAAAAGAAATTAATCATACAAATTGCTAATAGTTAGGTTGTAATAAAAGCAAAATTTGTAACACTGCAGTCTGTCCAGTGCTGTTAGCTTATTTTTCTGGGACTATGACGTCCACTTAAAAATATGTCAATTCTCGTGTCATCAAATATTTAAATCATCTCATATATACTAAACCATTACAGCCTGTCGAATCCGAGAGATAATAGTTAAAGACTTGTAACAAGGGTGAAAAGTAACGAATGACCATAGGATTGATTCTCATTTTTTTCCAAATCACCTTGATTATGAAAAAAATGAGATATTTTGAATTTTTTAGAATTCGCACTGATTTGAAATTAAAAATGTGAAATGCACATTAACGCTGAAGATATTGCAAAGTAGACTGCGTTTTGAGGCTAATTAAGTGAAATGGCGATTAAATATTGTTTACTCGGCAGTGTCGAAAAATTAAAGCCATAAACCACATTTCCTGAAAGCTTGCAGCAAAAAAGAAATTATTTGCAAATAGTGAATTATTCTAATATATTTTGAAATTACTTACTGCTCGCTTGAGCTTATCTTGATGAACAGTGTAGCATTATGACGATGATGCGAATGATAATAACGGCGCGGCGTTAGCACACGAGGTCCTGAATGACGATACGATAACGTCCGCATGCTTCGTTAACCAGCTAAAATATTGTTTTATTTGGTATAATACTAAAATATTATTTGTATCGGTAGATTTATCTCGTTAATGCTCGTTATTGAAATCAAAAGATTGACAAAACACGGGAAATTCATAAAAAACATAATATTTAATAGGATAACAGTATTCGAGACTATTACGTACTACAATCAAAAGCAACGACGCAAAAAGCAGAAAGTCCGTTTTAAGGAGGATCAGTTTTCCAACTCGTTGAAAAAGCCTCTCGCGTGAACCACTTTTAGGTCCAACTATATGAGGTACGATAAACGCATTCTTCCAGTGCATATTCTCCTATGTGCTTCTTAAAGCGTTAAAATATAATTGAATGTAGCGTATATTACTTTTCTTTGCAAATTGGAATAATTAAAAATGGTAGAATGCCATTAGATAGTAATGCTCGTTTGATTGCAATAATGTCGTGTCCATTTAATGTCTTTAGTTTCAGATTTGTTTCAGTATCAATTTATCTTGTATGAAAAATGTTACTTATCCGTTGTTAATATGTTTGATGACATGCAAGATCAACTCCATCGGAAATAATTTATGCAAAAATTATAATAAATAGAAATCATCGGTTAGTAACATTTTATAATAGTTATTTATAATTTATAACCGTTTATAAACGTCAGATTTTGGACACGTATAAAAATTATAAAGAGTTATGTTCTGTTAAAAAACTCATTATTAACTAACAACAGTTTTTTTCATTTTTTGCATTTTTATTCACTAGAACAAATTTATTTTGAGAAATAATAGATGCAAATAATTAAATAACTGCAAATAACAGTTATCATCAATTATTTATATTTTTGAAATTGATATTAAAAACTGTTCATAACTGCTGTTAATAGCAAATTTTTTTGTGATAAGAAGGTACGTTTTCGAAATTGTCTATAACTGTTAATAACTGTTATACGTATCTAAAATCTGACGTTTATAAACTATTTCAAGCTGCGAATAGCTGCATGCAAAATTTTACGCAAAAATTATTTACAACAGGGGAGATATAGATTTATTTATTACAATGTTGGAATAATTGGATTAATTGAATAACTTACAGATAAATCACAATGTAAGATTGATGTATTAGCTAAATGATACAAATAGTTTCAAAAGTTGTATCGAATATTTTTCTGTGGTTAAATTGTACTGCGAATAATTTATTTATATTAGAAATCTGCGATAATATAATAATATGAAAAATAAATTAATAATAAAATATCTGTTTTAGTTTTATTTAATAATATATAAGAAAATTATCAAAAAAATTCTACATTTATAACTATAATAAGTTAGTATAAGTGTATAAGAGTATACGTGTTGATCATGTGTAGCAAAACGGTTACCAATTTCATTAACATAAGTTGTGCAATTTGGAATATGTAGGTTGGTATTTTCTAGCGATAATTAACTTATCACATTACAATTTGCTAATAGAATACAGACTCATACAAACGTTGAAAAATAAACATCGTAGATGCTCATGCAGCACATTTGCAACCGTAGGGGAGGGTAAAAAGTCGGAACTGCAGTTCAGCCAATTCGAATTGTTGCTTTCCGGCCGGTACACTCATAAACTGATGAAGCTTGTAATCTTGTTGACAAGTCCCCTTTGCGCAAGTCTGATTTGGCCTACATAAATATCGAGTTTATATAGCATTCGTCATTTGAAGCAGCGTTGCAACAAGCAAAAATAAAATTCAACTCACAAGCATTCAATGGCTACGGCTTCCTGTACGAAATTCGGAAAATTTATTATTTGATATTCTTTGCCGTCTTCGGCGGTGGATACGGCAGGCTGTATTCTCTTGTACTATATTTGAATAGGAAAGTTATCGATGGGTCAAGCAAGCGTATCGCGAATCGAATAAGTGTACGACGAAATAGACGCCCTACTTACAACTGTTTCGCATGAGCTTGCGAAAACCAGATTGTTTATCTGAAATGAACGTAATTGAAAAGACGTAGAATGTAAAAGAGCGCGAATAATGAAAAAAATCACTCACAGGGTAGCCTGACGTGAGAACCAACAGCACAAACAAGCGTATGAACGATTTCATCTCAGCCATTCTGTGACTCACAATTGCGCGATTAACGAAATTATAATATTGGCAATCGGAAAGTCTCACATTTACTGCCCGAGTTCTCTATCGAGACTAAGCACTCGTAATTATCGCAGATCAGTTTGTTCCCGGAGACAAGCTTCTGTGTGTTTGTTTGCTTGATGAATGGACAAACGATTGAGCGATTTCATTTGACTGTGGCCTGCTCAAATTAGTTGCGTTTTTACGTAATTTCCATACTCATTAACGAATCGAGTTCTTTCCGTTTCTTGAGATAACTTCAGAAAAATGATTTTTACTATTACCGCAGTCCATCAATTATATCGTTCGTTTAGTAATTATTTTGCTTTTTTCAAAATATTTTTCGCTATCGATTTTTATCTTTGTCATTCTCTGCTTCAAGCTCGATTTTTTTAATACTGGTGTGGTCAAGCGTGCTTCGCGTGCTCGTGATTCATTTGTACCGAGAAGCTGTATACAGTTAGCATTGAGATGAATGTTAAAATTCTATTTGTCATCTGACAGATATCGAAGCTTGAAACCATATTTAGAGTGTCGACGTGTCCCCTTTGCGCAAAACTGATTTGGCATATATAAATATCAAGTGTATGTAGCATTCTATCCATCGATTTGTCATTTGAAGTGAGATTGCGCTTTAAATTTAATTTAATTTCAATTGAATTTATTTCAGTCAATACTCGTTTAACTCGAAGGCGTTACTTAAGAAAACTGTAAGCATGTTATCTTTAACGTCATTACTTACCATGTATTTTTGAACGAGAATACAGATAATGTCGTTGAATGATTGTTTTTTAACGATTGTGCATTTCATTATGTTTTTATTTTTTTTTGTTCAAGTCCAGTTTATTAAATAATATTACAACAATAATAATATTCTATTTCAAATTATTAATCGAAAATTCATAAGTTGTGCCGCTTCAATTTCCTTCATCCATAACAAATACTAAAACCTATCCGTGGTCGATTTCGTTGAATCTTGATACAATAATTATCTATATAAAGAAAAACCTTTCTAATAATTGTTAATTCCTAATATTATTTATTTAAAAAATATTAACAATTAAAAATTATCATGAAATCATTTTGAAAATTCGTATTTCAGGGACTGTTAAATTTTCATATACCTATCTTTTTTTTAAATACGCACAATATCGACTTATTTTTAAGATATTTATTTGAAAAAAAAAATTTTTTATTTTTCACAACTTATTAACTTTTTTTCGTGTATTCCATGCCAAAATGCAAAAAGAAAAATGTAATTGAAATTTTCATACATTGTTTATGCACAATTTTTGTGAAATTGACGTTATTGGGTAGACAATGTAAACACTAATCGGACAACGTTCACTTTATGGTATTGACGTACTGTGAAATTTTAGATGTAAAAGAAGACGATGCAATAAAATATGTCGCAGTTTTATATTTAGATACGTTAGTCTTGATTAGAAACTACATATTCATTCGCTGAAACAATATCAGTGCATAAAACATCTTCTGCCACACGGATCTCAGTAATTTTACGAATAGTTTTGAATTTTTAATACTTTCATTACCTAATAGCACAAACTTAATACCATCGCACCGTACCGGCAATTCATCTACCAGACGTCATGCATAACTTTTCAATTTTTAAACAAGCACTTTTTTAAAAATGTAACTGCAATCTTGTTATCGGTGCGATTGCATTATTCTTGTTCAAATGACAATCATTTACTAGAAGGTAAAATCATTTTGACGATCGCTGTGCGAGCTTACGAGCAAACGTTTCCAAATCCGTTCACTGCTCAATTATTCGGATGGCATCGCGGCAGAGCCGGCTAAGTTTGCGTTTTCGTGATTCCGAGATATTCGAGCTTGAACTCCAACGGATACATAAGATCGGCGAATGATTTTCAATAATTGGTATTGGACTGAAATATTCTATGTTTGAGATCCGTTTGTACGATGTGCATAGATATATGTATATATCCAAGTCGATTCAAAACGTCGTTCAGGCCGATGTTGTTTTAATTGAAAGTTGAGTTATCTGTACATTTTGAGTTAATGGATTACGTATTTGCATCAGTTTATTTATTATGAATTCTTTGGCTTACAAGTCTAAGTTATATATTAATAAAAACATATAGCAGCGCAGGGCTTGGCCCTTTACTATGATGTAACAATAATTATTTAATAACAGACACATTTAGATGTTCATTTAATCTATCCGATTACGCGTACAACGACCGGCGAAATATACCGTTTTTATCGAGTTCATCGGCAGGCGTAAACTTTTTGAGTCGAGTTGCTTCGTAGATTTAGATTCAGATTCTAAAAAAGCAAGGCAAAATCGCTAAATCGGACGAAAGAAAAATATGGCAACGACGATTAATTGGCGTGAAACGCCGGTTAGCTCGGGGCTCGAGCGTGCGACATCTGGAAAGATCTGGCGTCCGCAGGCCGACCGAGCCAAAGCTGCGTATGCATATACGACGGCCGGCATTACTCGGCAAACGAAACTGCGTCGCATGGGCTTGAGCTCCACTGAAATCCATTGGCTTACCGTGCGTAGCTGCTTTATGGGCTGTGCCAGCAGCTAAGGCTGCGTCCTCGCGCTTGGGCGCCTCCACTGCCGTGTATCGATTATTAATTATCGATGTAATGGCTTGGTAATTGGCCGCCCATGCTCAGCCGTACGGCCTGCTGCGTGTGTATTATGGTATAGCCGTAGCTCCAGCTAGTAATTGCGAGTTGTTTTTCCGCCCGAGCACCGCGGTTTAGATGCATTTCAAGTGTCACTCGGTTTCGATTAAATTTAACGCTGTGTTGACTTTCAAGGGCAACTCGTATATTTTCAAAGCTCCGCAAGAATTGATGCATCCATCGAAATTTATTTTTCGACCTGCTTCGACCTTCAGAACTCAAATTTCATACCAAGTTAACTTTAGCTACTTATATCTTTCATTAAATTATGAAAAAAATGCGAGTAAGCTCGCAGTTTGAACATTCCGTAAAAGTGTTATGCCACTTTTTAATGCCCATGGAAATGCTCGTATGATTCTATGCGTGCCGAATTTGGCATTGCAAAGTCACCAAGTCCAATCCGAAACGAGCACGCGCGAAAATTCGCAGAAGCTTTCCGGCTAATTCGCTAATTCCTCGTCAATGAAGCTTGGCTAATGCGATTTCAGCTCAATGGAATTCCATCGCGCCGATATGTGGTTTTAATGCTATTGTTTGCGGATTTACACGTGTACCGCGATACACCGCCGCGCGCGCAAACTCAACCGCCCAACAAAGTTTTCTTTTTTTACGAAAACCAATGGAAAAAGCGATGGGCGAGCTTGGGCGATAAGAGTTATTTATGCGTATCTGGCAGATTCGATTATTTCCATGACACGATCGTGAAGCAGAGTTTTGATATTCCTACCCCACACGAAGTCGAGGTGAGTAAAATTATCATGCGGCACACTCTCGACGTGTGCATTATTCAGTCTTGTCACCAAGTCGAATGAGTCCTACAAATTCGTGATAATTTCGGATTACTCATCACTTGCCAATCATTAGTGGCTGATCTATAATAAAATCATACGTACCTCTGGTGGTGCGACAGCGTCAGCCTTTCCATATATCAGGTAGACAGGTACGTCAATATTTTTCAAGTTATATTCTGGAGGCGACGGCTGCCCATAATGAAGTAAATTTTGAATGTAACCTTTGTCGTATTTTTGCAATTTGCCTAAAAATTTAATCGCTTGATCAATTTCTTTCTCATTAATTTCAATAATAATTAATTGTTAAGTGTTCGACACGTCAGCTGACATTTATTTTCTTCGTATCATTTTACATGTATATCGTTTCTCGTTAGTTAAATTGCCGATTTTACTAGTCCAAACTTTCAAAGTATTTTATTTTCAATTCATTAAATAAATACTAACTATCGGAAAAAGACAAGTCTAATGATAGCAGTTACATCAATCGAATATATTAGATTATTAAGTATAAAATGAACGAAAACTACTTTATACCTGCGACGATATTTTGGTAAAAATGAGATAAAGTTCGTGTGGACACTCCTGCGGGAAAATAAGCAAGTCCATCGGTTAGGAGATCCTGTAAAAGAAAGTTAATTGTAATAGTCAAGATAAAAATAAAAACAAAAAAATAATAGACTAGCTAGAAAATTATGCTGATCATTACTTATGAAATGATGAGCATGATTTTCAAAAATACCGTGCCGTCAAGTTCATGCGTCTACTGAAAGAGAATGAAAATAACTAATTAAAATGCGTATAACGAGCTGCAAAATAAAACGTATCTTACAACATCCAAAAGATCAGCATTGTTGCCACTTATGAAGTGAGTGATGGTCTTGCAGATAGCCTGCAGTAAGGTGCCGTCGCGACAGCTGCTGTTGGTCACTCTGGCGGTGATAAGCATCTGTGGTAACACTTCGCTCATACCAAGAGCTATCAGTAAAGCCTACAATCAAATCCATTCTACACTTTTTACGAATTCTAGTCTCTCACATTCCGGTGGAGTTATGTAAATATATTAATCGTTGATTTCGAAAAATCGATTGACATTTATGTCACACCAATGAATATGGATACTTGAAAGAATCTGGATGAGCGTGCAACAAGAAGTATTGTGAGCGGTTGTCAATGTGGCCGTCGGCTTTTTTGTGTATGACAATAAACTTGGATTGTAATACGCAACTCTGTGCAAAAAATCCATTGGTTAGAAGCTACAGATGGATAATCACCCTGACGTATTGCCCATTGAACATGAAGTATCTCATGAGATTCCTGGGTTTCTTCCAGTAACCGATAGGCGCAAGATTGACGACAAGCCGAATCTTTTGATTGTATTCTGGCTTCGACGATAACAGTATCAGACCGACAGTCGTGCCCATCGAGTGCGCTACATAGATTACGCTCTTCTGCTTGGTTTCGTACAGAATAAAGTCGATGGTTTTGCTGACGTCGCGCAAAGCGATTTCCTCGAAGCTGTACACAACGCCATTTCATTCGTTATCACGACTATGTATGATTACGACGGGCAATCGAGTTTACCTGAATTCCCAAAAAATTGGAGTTTCAGGTGATAGACGAACGTGGGATCTGGAGTATGTGTTGCCTCGACCATTGCCCAACCAGACATCGTAACCGGCGTCGGCCAGTAGAAATGCTGTAAATTCATTTCAATTTGCCTATTCGAATAACTAAACATCGTAATTTAATTTTCAATATGTTCATCATGCTTCCTTCTCGAAGCTATTGTAGTATTTAGTCTGTGATTTTCAAGTGAAATTTATATTCAACAAAGTTAATATACCGAGAATCCTTTTTTTTATATAAATGACATTGAAGAAACAACTTGAGGAATTTTTTTTGGGCTAAAATAATAAAATAAATGTGTACATGTTCTGTAATAACTTGTTACTTTGATATTATCCTTTAGGCGCCGAAGCATTTCTTGAGGATGTTTGATTATAAAATTAATTTGTATCATAAATCGAAGGGTTACCTAAGTCTTTCTCCGGTCCACCTATGACGAACATATCGGAAGAAGCGAGAATGCCATGTTGAATATAAACTACAGGTTTACCTGGGGCTTTTGGTTGCGTTGGACTACCTGGGATACGATGAGCTTTCAATTTGTAGCCATCATCCGTCAGTACTTCATACTCTTCTGCCGGATAGCCGTGTCGTCTCACCAAACTAAGCTGCACAATTTTTTTAATAATAAACGTTCAAGCCCACTGAATTCAATATCGAAATTCTCAAATCAAAACAATACAGCCTTGGAAAATCTACAGATGAGACGAGGCCCCGCGTTGCCGGTCTTTGTCATCAAATTCTGACCATTTTAATTTTTTTTTAATTACATATTCAAGTTGTACATTAAATAGAAGTCGTATAAATAATTTGTAATAAAAAACTCGATAGATGATAAGTTATTTTATAAATGATATACGAAGAAAGTTGAGTTTTCGTCGTAAAATAACATGTTAATGAATTACTTTATCTTTACGATTTCATTACGCACAGGACAATGGTTATACCAATATAATTTTACTATGCTATATGATTTGTTTGCATACGATACAAACCAATGGTTATGCTAGAATTATATTATAATACAATAATTAATATACGAAAAGGAAAAGATTTTATAGCATTGCGTGACTCAAGTTCGCACTTATGCAACGCCTCTCCGTGACTTAACAGTTCATAACGGCACAATGAGGTTGTAACCCCCGAGCGCACGGTGCCACTATGAACTATTAGGTCACGGAAAGACGAACCGTAAGTGCAAATTTAAGGACAAACGATACACGTGCCGTAAGGGACACTCGAAATCATGGCGTTAACCACCCTTACTGTGCTCGGGCGTTAAATCGTCGTGCCATTAAGTTTCACTTACGGTACTAGTAACGTTGTCGAATTTTACACCTATCTTTAAAAAATGATGAGTTACTGGCATCCAGCGTTGTGATTGGTTGATATGAAAAAAAACGCGAAATTTAGAATCTTCGTACACCTTGAAATAGCTGTATTATAAATCTAAAAATATGAGAGATTATCTCTTAAAATTACGCTGAAATAATTAGTACAAATCGATAACTTGATTATTATCTGTGAAGTTAATAACGTCGTTTCGAAATGTAATTAGAAGAGAGAAAAAGTGAATGGAATAAAATTATAATTAATACTAATATAACTATACTAAATATATATACTAATATACTAATATATATTATATTAGTATTAGTAATAAAATGTTTTACTAATACTAATATAACACGTGGAAAATTACTGACATTAAGTAAATTTATTATTGTATGATTCACACCGTGTAATAAATAACAAAAAAGCAAGCTAAATAACGTTAATTAATTTAGAATTTTAGAATATTCTATAAAGTATTAGTAATTTTTCCTTGTAATATTATGCTACACGAACATTTAAATATATGTATATTTCCAATTTGCAAGAATAAAAAAAAATTTCATAAATAATTCGTGTGTATGTGTTTTATAATTTTTAACACTCGCAATTAGTTAAAAAATTGAGATAAAGTAATTTACAGGAGTACATTTTAAAGCTATTTAGTTCTACTTTACAATGTTACGAACGTTGTTGAAATTACAATTCACATATTTTATTGTTTATAACAATAGATTGACTGCATTGTACAAACTATGTCATCCAAAAATAAATTTTCACATGTCAACTTGAAAAAATCAAATAAAAATTGCATTGCACTATAGCTCCATTGTTGCAGATTCACACACATTTTCTTGAGTATACTCACAAAATCAGGAAGTGGTAAATATCCATTCAAACTCCTCGGATTCGAGCGACTTCTCTCGCGTAAAACACTCATCGGTAAAAAATCCAGAAACGTTGCAGCTGTTTGCCTTAGGCACAATAGCAAAACAATCGTGAACGTGACTTTGATCATTACTATGATTTCGTCCGAACAGCATGTGTTCCAAAATGATACTGATGAAAAGTGAATCCGCGCGGCGAATTAGTTCTTATCTCCGGATGAATTCTTATGTTACATCTCCACTCATATTTATTTAAATGATCGATGTATCTTTATTTTTCTACGTGAGATTCTTGTAGCTTATCTTAACTTCATTTGTAATGGAAATTTAAGAGCTGTGTCATTGAACGGCTGTAGAGATCGACGTTTTTATTACACGAGCGATATTCATATTTTATTTGACCTTGTCTGATTACGTCGAAATACACAAAAAATTATTTCAAAATAAAGAAGACAAATTAATCATAGTGTTTCCGCATTTAGAGAATAATTTACACGATGCTAGCATGAAAAAAACGCTTATATCAAAACCGCATATTAGTCGTGATTAAGCGCTTTGGTGTTTTACTTGCAACAATTTTCAAGTCTACTTCCGAGAAAGATCTGACCGATGGTTCTTTAGCCTAAGTGTATGACCTTGGCAAGTTATCTCTTTCAAAAAAGTAAAAAAATAACGCGATACTTGCAAATTTTTTAACGAATATTTGCTCTTTTTCAATTATTCAATGATATACTTCAATTCTCTAAAATACCGATTTAAATTATTTATCACGGTATATTTACTGAATTATTTACAAGTATTCACCCTCAATATCTTTGATTTCCTTTAAATTTATTCATTTATTAGCATTCATACGCTAGATTCCAAGTAACTTGTTAATTAAATTAAATTTGATTACCATATACTTGAAAATTGAATATTAAGTGGATGGTTCTAAAGTCCTTTGAAAGTATTTTTCTCTTTTTACATCATAAGTGTTTTCATATCCGACGTTTAAAGTAAATGATATAGATAAGATGTAATTTAGATATTTCTTATTTTAATGGTAATTTTTCTAGACTTTAATGTGTTTGCATCATCGTTTGAATATAAGTTATCATTTGAAAATCATTGTGAATGGATTAATCTTCAGTTTTCTGGTTATAACAACAAAAAAGTAAAGTTTAATGAAAATGGTCCTGTTTAGTAACAATTATTCGAAATCTCAGTAATTTATTTTTAGTATAATACGTCGATAAGTTGGTTATTCTCCGACATTTAAGAATTCATTTCTAAGACGTTCCAAGTAAATTATTGATGTTCAGGCAATCACATCCGATTCATTCATAAGTGCGTATACACCAACACGCGATAAAACAATGGGGAAAGGATATTATAACGGGTATATAAGTGCCGTGGTGGTAAGAACCTGGCAATCGATAACAGTCAACTCATTGTTAAGTAATGACCAGTCGACAGCATGTATTTGTTCTGATCATGGCGTTGTTGGCTGTTTGTTTTTTTCTGAAGAGATTAACAAATTTATTTTAAAAAAAAATTTTTTTTCTTTCTTTTCCGACAACGATCAACAACAGCGATACCGAGAACAACATTCAAACAAATTCTTGGCACTTGGCGCTAGTAATGTCAATGCGAAAAGCATAGTTGAGCTGCAGGATGCGAATGTTACTATACGCAAGATCGGTATTGTACAATACGATAGGGTGAGTGGCTTACACTAAAACATTGGTTCTTGCGTTTTTTAGATAAAGTTCAAAGCTCTACTAAAAATATTATATCTTTTTAAGAAGAAACTCTTGTTTTTCTTTTAATTTCACTTTTTATATCAAGTTTATAAATATGTGATAACAACCAGATTTATCTATTTTCGCAATGGAAAATTGTAATAATATATTGAAGATCAACTGTCGTTCTCAAGATATGATATTGAGTGAAAAATGTAAAATACTTGAATCTCTCCTAATAAACCTATAAAAGTAACTGCATCGTGAACACTTCATTTGAATTTAAAAACAAAAAAAAATTATTCAAAGTGACGAAAAAAGATACATCCTGTTAAGTTGAAAAGCCACCTGAATATATTTAATTTTAGATTCAGTGAATAGCAGATGCCAATTTACTGCTAATTATATACTTTTGTGTTTTGTTTTCGACTTCCGCAAAAATCTTAAAAATAATTTTCTTTTTTGGACAATCGACTACCTCAAAGACTTCTTCACACACGCAGTGATAAGCTCTTTAAGAGAAGTAGTATATCAAATATGTCGTATGTAGCAACCAGCAATACGTTTTTATCGGAGCACGAAATTTGTTTACTTAATAGACTACTTTTAAATTATTCAAATAGTACCAAGATGAATGTGCCATAATTGATAGCTTGAAATATGAAAATTTATTAATAACCAACGACAATGACAATAAACTTTTACACATTGTCCGACGAGTCAGTCAAAGTCCGCAATCCGCTAAGAATATCTCAAATATATTCATAATCATTTGAATTTTCATTTGAACTGGAAAAAAATTTTTGTTTTTATTTTCATAGCTTCTCCAGACAGCGGTTAAGCTGATCGCGCGCACAGGCACTCAAGTGGACTGCCAGATACTGTATTAAAGGAGCTGCTGGACATTACATAAGTCATTGATTGACTGCGCTGTAACTGTTTTTTTCTACTCGTATTCCTCAAAAGGCCTGTGTAATAAAAAAAAAATTTCGTCTGATAATCTAATTACAGACAAGCTATTTAATTACCAACAAGGAACGTTGAGTTTTCAACTGAGAAGATTCAATTACTTGCACGCTAGCATTTTTAATGTATTGTGAGATATCAACACTTTGATTTTACTCATTAAATATGCATTGTAATTATTGTGATTAATATCAAAATAAATTTATGCAAGAGCATAATAGCTACTGCATAATTTTATTTCGATTATACTCGATCGTTGATATTGCACAATTTTCACAGCGAAAGCTACATTACGAAGGGTACCAGCCAATGTTAAAATTGTTCTGCAATAGTCGCCCCAATAAAGAGATCAGGATAATACTGTTTTCATCTTCGTATAAGCTTTTATTTCCTTTGTAGAAAGATCCAAAAACTTGATTGCGTGGCCTATAAATAATCGCAATATTATTTTATTCGTTGGAAAAAATTTATACGACGATAAAGAAGAAGTTTTCAATTTCGCATGTTAAATACTAGTTGGCTACTTTAAATTGATGAAAATTCAAAGTTCTTCTGCTTAAATAATTTGATAAGATAAGCAGGAAAATATAATCCCTCGGAAATGAGAGGCAAACTATCATACACTTTATAGTCTGACTACACTGAAAGACAAATAACGCAGAATGGTAACCAACTCTTGAGCTTAATTATCTCGCAAATTTTCGTAAAAGCAAGACATGAGCGTAGCTGGAGAGGCTCGCGCGAGCAGGTTAACGAGCGACAGCAAGCGTGTAACGGCTAATTGGTATTCGGCGTCGTCGACTGATCGTCCTGCGGATAGCTAAAGTTACGCCAAACTCGTCGAGCTGTTTATTAGATTCAGCGATGCGAGAAAGCATGACGCGGCTTCTGCGTATCTGCTTCAAATCAGGAGTTTCAAGTCTTGCCAAGCTTTAAAACTAAAAGCTGGAATTATCATCTCGTACTTGAAAAAGTTTTGTTCCATTCGAGTTGTCGGGAGCGACAAAGAGAAAATGCTTTTTCTGCGAAATAATTCTTAATGTTAATGCAATTATCCGGAAAGACGAATGCCAGTTCCAAGTTGAACTTTCTAAAGTAGCTCCGGCATACGCAGCGTTTCCAAAATATCATCACGGAGAAACTTTGAGCACGTGGAATAATGCATTTCGCCAAGCTCCCACATCGACAGAAAGTTCGTCATACAACTTGAGCCTCGCGTAATTTTCACCTCGATAAACACACTGCCAGGTATTGAATTGGCTAACTCGAGCGAACAGTCAGCCAGCGAGGCGGCAGCCGTCTCGTTTTGCAGATTGGCGAACCGCACTGACAATACTAATAAAAGGGAAATCAACTAGACATTGTTATCGAGCTTACGTATATATACGTACACTAAGCTACTTCTGACAATACCATTTTTTTCGATGGTATCGCATGGTACAGTTCTTTCATTTGTTTTTTTATTTGAATAAAACAGTCACTTGTCAAGTGAACCTGTTGCTTCAAACTTTTGACGAGCAATTTTTAATGCGTGGATCAAAAGCTACATCAATAAAATAAGACTGCCCTAGGAAAGAGATTAACAGCTGTAAAGTGAAAATCATCGGAGAAAGCATTAATCAACATCCCTCGTCGAGGTTACGTCAGTTAACAACGCGAACTCGGTAGTATAAGCTGACTGGCTTAATCCTTCTCTCTCTCTCTCTCTCTCTCTCTCTCTCTCTCTCTCTCTCTCTCTCTCTCTCTCTCTTTATTTTTTAGGGTTCATTGTTCGCGTGGGTGTTAGGGCGCGTAGCACGCGGGAGAGGATAATGGATTATCGGGCCGCGAAATTGGTAAGTGGCTTTGTCGTAATTGCGCCCCGTCTCTTCGTGTAATTGGGTTTTTCCAGCGGTTGCCTCCACGAGTACAGAGAAAGAGAGTGAGAGGGAGAGCTGCTAATTGAGAAGCGATTTTTAAACGTTTCGTTTGTAAGATTTTTCCTTTCTCTTTCTTTTATGGATTGCTAATGTTCATTGTCAAAGGTAATGATCGAACGTGCTTAGTGAGCGTGAAACAATTGCTGCTATAAGTATATGGTTTCGTAATTGCTATATTTGCAATTTTGCAAACGACTTTAACGATCTGATAAATTGAATATAGAAGTGGTAACAATTTTATAAAATAAAATTCGAGGTTTTTCTAGCAATAACGCCTGTCAAAGAATTTCCAAAACGAACGTTTTTCAAAGAAATGCAGTGAATATACTCCATCCGACAGAATGATAGATCGACTGAGCCAACGATAAGATCTCGCGGCTTGCTAAACTTTAATCTCGCGCACTTTCTTGGGTATTTCAAAGCGGATAGCTCCCGAATGAAGACTTTACACGCGAAGTCAGATAGTCAGTGGAGTTTCGATTCGAAAAGTGAAGCGATACAGAAGCTTTCCAGAAATTGACTCCTCTGCCGCAAAAAAAGAAAAAGAAATAAGTCGTTTATGTATTCGATTTCAATGCAAGAAACAAGTGTCTCAACGTGACTTTAGTATTTCGAGAAAATAGAGTTTTACGCTGACTGAAAGAAAACTTCAAAAGGAAAGATGTCGAAGGAGCGCAATAGTTATCAAGCGAAATAAAATAACTGTCGCCGACCTTATTCACTCGCGGCACGTCTGCACATAGAGTATAGCGAATCACTTGCAGCTAGCGGTCGTTGGCGTTGACATTCAATTTGCCGAAAAGCATAGAAAAACTCGGGGCGCGGCTGCACAAAAAGAAGATACGATGAAGTGATTGTCCGAATGAGCTTGGAAAGGACGGACTTTGTTTCTGCGTACGTGAAACTCCAATCATTAATTTTGATGTTTGTGATATTTCAAGCAATAAATTTATATTGACCGAGATAAATTTCGAGTTTTTTCCACACTTTGAAAACATATAATTCGATACACGTTACATATATAATTGAAAAGACAAATTGTCAACTTAAAAATAACTTTTCCAAAATATGAGCATGAACTTTTTTACGAACATCCTCGAAGATTTTGAAATCGTTGTTGCTTCCTTGATGAGAAAGCATTGTTTTAGTTATTCTCAAAGATTTTATCATTTTGCTCTAACTAGTGTCATCAAACGCACTTCGCGCGTTAATCTCTTGTTTGTGATAACACTTTTTTTTATGCTTGAATCAAATCAAAACTAAAAGCAGACAAAATTAAAAATTCTAAAATATACTACATACAAAAATAATTCTATAGTTCGAAATGCTCAACATCAGTCGATATTGATTGTAGGATATCTCCATATCAGTAGATATATTAGTTTAATAAACATATAATAAACCAGTTTTTACCAATTGCGCATAGTACTTTTCTTAAAATTTTTAATGATGTTTATTCGAAGCTCAATTTGATAACAAAGATATCCAATAAATTAGTTATAATAGATCAAAGTTATTCAATAAAGTTAGACCGTTAAGCAGATATGGATGTTATTTTCTTCTTAATTTCTCTGAATTATGTGTTTTTATCTACTCAAATTGATAATAGTTTTATGTTTAATCTATTTGGCATTTTAACACTTCAAGTTGTTAATTATACACCGATTTACCGACATGTCAGTTGCTATGCTAATCCAATACACTGTAAGTGTTATTAATTACATACAAATACACACTGTTACATAACAGTGATCCATATGTAATTACCTTTCAGTCAATCAGATCATGAATAAAATGACTTTACTCACGGGTCACCAATTTACTAAATTAGGATTTTTCTGTATTTATGATTATTTCTCAAACTTCTTTTTAGCTGTTGTATTTAATTTTATTACATCTAAATTTAATAATTATTTTATTACATAATTTCATTTGAATTAATGAGAAGTATAACAAATCAATCAATCTAGCCAATGTTTTTTTCTTATTTTACCACTAATACCTATAAGTTATTTTGTTTAAATTAGGTGTATATAATTTATATTGTGATACGAATGTGGTATATTATATCCATCCTCGTAGCATATCGTACCAGAACTATTAATAATTCGTAAAAAGGAAAGAAAACGATTTTTTCCTTGTATTTAAGCATTCTTATATGTACAGAAACTTTCGGAATTTTCTGATTTTCAATTTACCTTGTTTATAATAGGATTGGTATATATAGTTATTTATTTATTTTAGTGAAGTTTTAAATTTGTCTAATTCTAGATTCTCAAAATTACCCAGTTCGATATATTGCAAAGTTATTGTGTTATTATAGTTGAACTATGTCAGTGAAGAAAAATTATAGTGGACAGAAAATAACATTTTGTGCACAAATTGTATCATCATACTGCTCAATTGTTATTAAATTAAGACATTATCTGTAAATTTTGAACTATATATTTTGTATGAATTATGTATTGACAACAGAATGCTAATTGAAGAAATAATTGGTCTTATTTTATCCTATATACGCAACGAAACCAGCCTAACTTATTTGATGGGATAAATTGTACAATCAATTTTCTTCATACCTATAGATCGATAGTTTCGTCTCAAAATTAAGATATCTAGTTGCAATTTTCTTATCGTAAAACTTTAAAATCTCTAATGATCAAATAAATTCTCCTGATACAATAAAAGAATAAAACGTATGACATTTTTCTATAATTATTATTTATTCAAATTATTATTTAATGTATCTTTCTTGGCTTCAGCGAGTCCAACGAGGTAATTCATAGTTCCAATTGACATTAATTTTACCTACATCACTTGTGTTATTCGCATGAGATCATCTAACATCACTATAGATGTTAATAAATTCTCTGTAATCTTCAACTCCTATGCGATGACCTATAATGATTATTATCATTAATGCCACCCACATCACTTGACCTAATCGAATGAGACGATCTGTGATCGCCATTGATGTCAACTATCCATCGACGTCCTCCATCCCTCATATCACTCCAATGAGATGATCCATAATCACCGTTAAAGTTAATTTTACCTTCGTGACTTAGACTACTCCAGTCAGACAAACCATCTCCGCCATTGATGTTAATTTTACCTTCATGACTAGAGCTACTTGAATGGGACGATCCAAGATTGCCATTAGTGTTTAATCCGCTACCATGAATCGAATTACTTGAATGGGACATTCCATCACCGCCATTAATATTAATGAACCGATGGCTTGAGCCACGCCAATTAGATAATCCAGAATCACCATCGGTGTTCATTTCATTTCCGTGGTTTGAAATACTCCAATAAGACGATCTATCATTATCACCATTGATGTTTATGGATCCTCTGCGCATTGAACTACTTGAATGAGACGATCCATCTCCGCCATTGGCGTTAGTTTCACCTTTCTCATTTGAGCTACTTAACTGAGATCCGTGACCACTCTTGATATTAAATACACCACCGCGGCTTGAACTACTTAAATGAGATAATCCAGGATTGCCATTCATGTTCATTAACCCATTATGCCATCCCGTTACCCTTGAGCTATGGTCATGTTCGAGTTGTTTATTTATGCCTAAGTTTATTTCTTTTCCGTGATCGTTGGATGAAGTATATGTTTCATCTAACTTGACTACATCAGCTGGGACTAGATATGAACTTCTATGGATATTATGACCACCAAGGCCATTTAAGTCATCTCCTCGAATGGAGCTACTCGCCTGTGATGATCCGTAAATGCCGTTAATGTTCGATTCGTCCCCTTGGCTGGAACTACTTGAATGAGACCATTCACCATCACCGTTGATATTAATTTTACCTACATGACTGGAGCTGCTGGCATTAGACGATCCAAGACCACCGTTCATGCTTAATCCACCTTCCAAGTTTAAAATACTAGAATGAGATGATCCAACACTGCCGTTGACATCAATTTCACCACCATGACTTGAGTTACTCGCCAGATATGATCCGTGACCGCTATTAATATTTAATTCGCCACCGTCACTTGAATTACTCATATGAGATAATCCAAGATTGCCATTGATATTCATGATTCCACTATGGGATCCCGCTACCCCGGTACTATGGTCAAGTTTGACTTGTTTATTTATGCCTAAGTTTATTTCTTTTCCGTGATCGTTGGATGAAGTATATGTTTCATCTAACTTTACTACACTAGCCGGGACCTGATATGAATATCTATGAATATTATGACCACCAAGGCCATTTAAGTCATCTCCTCGAATGAAGCTACTCGCCTGTGATGATCCGTAAATGCCGTTAATGTTCGATTCGTCCCCTTGGCTGGAACTAATTGAATGAGACCATTCACCATCACCGTTGATATTAATTTTACCTACATGACTGGAACTGCTGGCATTAGACGATCCAAGACCACCGTTGATGCTTAATCCACCTTTAAAATTTGAAATACTAGAATGAGATGATCCAACACTGCCGTTGACATCAATTTCACCGCCATGACTTGAGTTACTCGCCAGAGATGATTCGTGACCGTTATTAATATTTAATTCGCCACCGTCACTTGAATTACTCATATTAAATAATCCAAGATTGCCATTGATATTCATGATTCCACTATGGGATCCCGCTACCCCAGTGCTGTGGTCAAGTTCGACTTGCTTATTTATACCGAAGTTTATATCTTTTCCGTGATCATTGGATGAAGTATATGTGTCATCTAACTTTACTACACCAGCCGGGACCTGATATGAATATCTATGAATATTAAGACCACCAAGGCCGTTTAAGTTACCTCCTCGAATCGAGCTACTCGCCTGTGATGATCCGTAAATGTCGTTAATGTTCGATTCACCCCCTTGGCTTGAACTACTTGAATGAGACCATTCACCATTACCGTTGATATTAATTTTACCTACATGACTGGAGCTGCTGGCATTAGACGATCCAAAACCACCGTTGATGCTTAATCCACCTTTCAAGTTTGAAATACTAGAATGAGATGATCCAACACTGCCGTTGACATCAATTTCACCGCCATGACTTGAGTTACTCGCCAGAGATGATCCGTGACCACTATTAATATTTAATTCGCCACCGTCACTTGAATTACTCATATGAGATAATCCAAGATTACCATTGATATTCATGATTCCACTATGGGATCCCGCTACCCCAGTGCTGTGGTCAAGTTCGACTTGCTTATTTATACCGAAGTTTATATCTTTTCCGTGATCGTTGGATGAAGTATATGTTTCATCTAACTTTACTACACCAGCCGGGACCTGATATGAATATCTATGAATATTAAGACCACCAAGGCCATTTAAGTCATCTCCTCGAATGAAGCTACTCGCCTGTGATGATCCGTAAATGCCGTTAATGTTCGATTCACCCCCTTGGCTTGAACTACTTGAATGAGACCATTCACCATCACCGTAGATATTAATTTTACCTACATGACTTGAACTACTCGCAAGAGACGATCCGTCACGGCTGTTTTTGTTTTGTCCTTTTCGGAAACTTATGAAACCCAAACGAGACCATTTATCATCGCCATTAATATTAATTCCACCTACGTGATTTAAGTTACTCGTCTGAGATGATTCTTGATCACTATTAATATTTATTTCGCCACCTTGGCTTGAACTACTCAAATGAGATAATCCAAGGTTGCCATTGATATTCATGATTCCGCTATGTGATCCCGCTACCCCAGTGCTGTGGTCAAGTTCGACTTGCTTATTTATGCCAAAGTTTATATCTTTTCCGTGATCGTTGGATGAAGTATATGTTTCATCTAACTTTACTACACCAGCCGGGACCTGATATGAATATCTATGAATATTAAGACCACCAAGGCCGTTTAAGTTACCTCCTCGAATCGAGCTACTCGCCTGTGATGATCCGTAAATGTCGTTAATGTTCGATTCACCCCCTTGGCTTGAACTACTTGAATGAGACCATTCACCATCACCGTAGATATTAATTTTACCTACATGACTTGAACTACTCGCAAGAGACGATCCGTCACGGCTGTTTTCGTTTAGTCCTTTTCGAAAACTTATGAAACCCAAACGAGACAATTTATTATCGCCATTAATATTAATTCCACCTGCGTGATTTAAGTTACTCGCATACGACGATTGAAGACCGTTGCGAGTGTTTAGTTCTCTCTCTTGGCTTGTACTGAATCGACTTGGATGAGACGATACATTATGGTCCTTGAATGTAATTTTGCCTTCATTACTTGAGCTACTTTTGAATTGTCCTGAGTTTTTATCTCCATTCAAATGGATGTTTATATCTACGTTGTGTTCCAATAGTTTTTTTTTCCCAGCTTCCAAATCAAATTCCGACTTTTCGACATGCTCTGGATGATCTGTTTCTATCACATTGAATAAAAGACTTGCCTTTTTATCGCGTTCTCCATATTTTTTTTTGTTTAACTCTAAGCTGGATAGCAGGTTGATTGAGTTATGCGGATGTTTGTCTACTATATCTTCGCCGTCAGTACTATTATAGCGACTGCTCTCATGACTTATAGATCCACCAATATCTACACTTACTTTACCTTCATAAAGTTTTCCTACATCATTTTGTTGATTATCGTGAAAATTTTCTTTTTTAACGAGACTGTTATGATGACTGTAATCATTATTGTCAGGTTTTTCTGTTATGACATGATACAGTGAAAAAGCTTTTTCTATTTCATTCCTATAATTATCAAACTCATTTACTGTACTCCCAATGGACGGTTCTTTTTGGTTTCCTTGGCTGCTCTTGACATCTGAAACGATAATGAAATGGAATATAGATTGAAAACAGCGCAAAATCACGAAAGTTAATGTCATGTTGCAAGTTTACCGTGTTGAAATGTATTTCTACGGTCATCATCACTTTTTAGTTGCCCTGAAAATCCGCTTCTGATATCTATGTCAAAACCAGAACCTACATTTACCGACTGTCCTGAGTTTTTATCTTGACTTGAATGAACGTTTAAATCCTTGTTCTGTTCCAATAGTTTTTCTTTTTCTGCTTCCAAATCAGCTTTCAACTTTTCACCATGCTCTAAATGTTTAGTTTTTATCGCATTCAAAAGCATATTTCCTGTTTTATTGTGTTCTAAATGATTTTCTTTGTTCAATTCGAGACTAGCTTGCAAATTGGTTGAGTGATCCGGATGATTGTCTACTGCATTTTCACCATCAATTTTCACATGGTGACTGTCCTTATGACTAATAGACTTGCCAAGACCTACGTCTACTTCACCTTTATAATATTTTTCTACATCGATTTGTTGATTGTCGTTAAAATTTTCCTTTTTTACTGAACCGTCATGATGACTGTGATTATCATTGTCAGGTTTCTCTGTTATGACATGATACAGCGAAAAAGCTTTTTCTATTTCATTCCTATAATTATCAAACTCATTTACTGTACTCCCAATGGACGGTTCTTTTTCGTTTCCTTGGCTGCTCTTGACATCTGAAACAATAAAGAAAAGGAATATAGATTGAATACAGCGCAAAAACACGAAAGTTAATGTTGATAGTTTACCGTGTTGAAATGTATTTGTACGGCCATCTTCACTTTTTATTTGCCCTGAGAATCCGATTCTGTTATCTATGTCAAAACCAGAACCTATATTTCCTAAGTTTTTATCTTGGCTCAAATGGATGTGTCCCAATAGTTTTTCTTTTTCCGCTTCCAAATCAGCTTTCAACTTTTCACCATGCTCCAAATGTTTAGTTTTCACCGCATTCAAAAGGGCATTTGCATTTTTACCGAGTTCTAAATGTTTTTGTTTGTTCAATTCGAGATCGGCTTGCAACTTGGTTGCATAATCACCTTGTTGATTGTTACTTGAACCATTATTTCCACTTTTTAATTCGCCCGACAGACCGCTTCTGATGTCTAATCCAATGTCAGCACCTATATTTACCGACTTTCCTAAGTTTTTATCTTGGCTCAAATGGATGTTTAAGTCTTTGTTGTGTCCCAATAGTTTTTCTTTTTCCGCTTCCAAATCAGCTTTCAACTTTTCACCATGCTCCAAATGTTTAGTTTTCACCGCATTCAAAAGGACATTTGCATTTTTACCGAGTTCTAAATGTTTTTGTTTGTTCAATTCGAGATCGGCTTGCAACTTGGTTGCATAATCACCTTGGTGATTGTTACTTGAACCATTATTTCCACTTTTTAATTCGCCCGACAGACCGCTTCTGATGTCTAATCCAATGTCAGCACCTATATTTACCGACTTTCCTAAGTTTTTATCTTGGCTCAAATGGATGTTTAAGTCTTTGTTGTGTCCCAATAGTTTTTCTTTTTCCGCTTCCAAATCAGCTTTCAACTTTTCACCATGCTCCAAATGTTTAGTTTTCACCGCATTCAAAAGGACATTTGCATTTTTACCGAGTTCTAAATGTTTTTGTTTGTTCAATTCGAGATCGGCTTGCAACTTGGTTGCATAATCACCTTGTTGATTGTTACTTGAACCATTATTTCCACTTTTTAATTCGCCCGACAGACCGCTTCTGATGTCTAATCCAATGTCAGCACCTATATTTACCGACTTTCCTAAGTTTTTATCTTGGCTCAAATGGATGTTTAAGTCTTTGTTGTGTCCCAATAGTTTTTCTTTTTCCGCTTCCAAATCAGCTTTCAACTTTTCACCATGCTCCAAATGTTTAGTTTTCACCGCATTCAAAAGGACATTTGCATTTTTACCGAGTTCTAAATGTTTTTGATTATTCGATTCGAGATCGGCTTGCAACTTGGTTGCATATTCACCTTGTTGATTGTTATTTGAACCATTATTTCCACGTTTTAATCCTTCCGACAGACCGCTTCTGATGTCTAATCCAATGTCAGCACCTATATTTACCGACTTTCCTAAGTTTTTATCTTGGCTCAAATGGATGTTTAAGTCTTTGTTGTGTCCCAATAGTTTTTCTTTTTCCGCTTCTAAATCAGCTTTCAACTTTTCACCATGCTCCAAATGTTTAGTTTTCACCGCATTCAAAAGGACATTTGCATTTTTACCGAGTTCTAAATGTTTTTGATTACTCATTTCGAGATCGGCTTGCAACTTGGTTGCATATTCACCTTGTTGATTGTTATTTGAACCATTATTTCCACGTTTTAATCCTTCCGACAGACCGCTTCTGATGTCTAATCCAATGTCAGCACCTATATTTACCGACTTTCCTAAGTTTTTATCTTGGCTCAAATGGATGTTTAAGTCTTTGTTGTGTCCCAATAGTTTTTCTTTTTCCGCTTCCAAATCAGCTTTCAACTTTTCACCATGCTCCAAATGTTTAGTTTTCACCGCATTCAAAAGGACATTTGCATTTTTACCGAGTTCTAAATGTTTTTGATTATTCAATTCGAGATCGGCTCGCAACTTGGTTGCATATTCACCTTGTTGATTGTTATTTGAACCATTATTTCCACGTTTTAATCCTTCCGACAGACCGCTTCTGATGTCTAATCCAATGTCAGCACCTATATTTACCGACTTTCCTAAGTTTTTATCTTGGTTCAAATGGATGTTTAAGTCTTTGTTGTGTCCCAATAGTTTTTCTTTTTCCGCTTCCAAATCAGCTTTCAACTTTTCACCATGCTCCAAATGTTTAGTTTTCACCGCATTCAAAAGGACATTTGCATTTTTACCGAGTTCTAAATGTTTTTGATTATTCAATTCGAGATCGGCTCGCAACTTGGTTGCATATTCACCTTGTTGATTGTTATTTGAACCATTATTTCCACGTTTTAATCCTTCCGACAGACCGCTTCTGATGTCTAATCCAATGTCAGCACCTATATTTACCGACTTTCCTAAGTTTTTATCTTGGCTCAAATGGATGTTTAAGTCTTTGTTGTGTCCCAATAGTTTTTCTTTTTCCGCTTCCAAATCAGCTTTCAACTTTTCACCATGCTCCAAATGTTTAGTTTTCACCGCATTCAAAAGGACATTTGCATTTTTACCGAGTTCTAAATGTTTTTGATTATTCAATTCGAGATCGGCTCGCAACTTGGTTGCATATTCACCTTGTTGATTGTTATTTGAACCATTATTTCCACGTTTTAATCCTTCCGACAGACCGCTTCTGATGTCTAATCCAATGTCAGCACCTATATTTACCGACTTTCCTAAGTTTTTATCTTGGCTCAAATGGATGTTTAAGTCTTTGTTGTGTCCCAATAGTTTTTCTTTTTCCGCTTCCAAATCAGCTTTCAACTTTTCACCATGCTCCAAATGTTTAGTTTTCACCGCATTCAAAAGGACATTTGCATTTTTACCGAGTTCTAAATGTTTTTGATTATTCAATTCGAGATCGGCTCGCAACTTGGTTGCATATTCACCTTGTTGATTGTTATTTGAACCATTATTTCCACGTTTTAATCCTTCCGACAGACCGCTTCTGATGTCTAATCCAATGTCAGCACCTATATTTACCGACTTTCCTAAGTTTTTATCTTGGCTCAAATGGATGTTTAAGTCTTTGTTGTGTCCCAATAGTTTTTCTTTTTCCGCTTCCAAATCAGCTTTCAACTTTTCACCATGCTCCAAATGTTTAGTTTTCACCGCATTCAAAAGGACATTTGCATTTTTACCGAGTTCTAAATGTTTTTGATTATTCAATTCGAGATCGGCTCGCAACTTGGTTGCATATTCACCTTGTTGATTGTTATTTGAACCATTATTTCCACGTTTTAATCCTTCCGACAGACCGCTTCTGATGTCTAATCCAATGTCAGCACCTATATTTACCGACTTTCCTAAGTTTTTATCTTGGCTCAAATGGATGTTTAAGTCTTTGTTGTGTCCCAATAGTTTTTCTTTTTCCGCTTCCAAATCAGCTTTCAACTTTTCACCATGCTCCAAATGTTTAGTTTTCACCGCATTCAAAAGGACATTTGCATTTTTACCGAGTTCTAAATGTTTTTGATTATTCAATTCGAGATCGGCTCGCAACTTGGTTGCATATTCACCTTGTTGATTGTTATTTGAACCATTATTTCCACGTTTTAATCCTTCCGACAGACCGCTTCTGATGTCTAATCCAATGTCAGCACCTATATTTACCGACTTTCCTAAGTTTTTATCTTGGCTCAAATGGATGTTTAAGTCTTTGTTGTGTCCCAATAGTTTTTCTTTTTCCGCTTCCAAATCAGCTTTCAACTTTTCACCATGCTCCAAATGTTTAGTTTTCACCGCATTCAAAAGGACATTTGCATTTTTACCGAGTTCTAAATGTTTTTGATTATTCAATTCGAGATCGGCTCGCAACTTGGTTGCATATTCACCTTGTTGATTGTTATTTGAACCATTATTTCCACGTTTTAATCCTTCCGACAGACCGCTTCTGATGTCTAATCCAATGTCAGCACCTATATTTACCGACTTTCCTAAGTTTTTATCTTGGCTCAAATGGATGTTTAAGTCTTTGTTGTGTCCCAATAGTTTTTCTTTTTCCGCTTCCAAATCAGCTTTCAACTTTTCACCATGCTCCAAATGTTTAGTTTTCACCGCATTCAAAAGGACATTTGCATTTTTACCGAGTTCTAAATGTTTTTGATTATTCAATTCGAGATCGGCTCGCAACTTGGTTGCATATTCACCTTGTTGATTGTTATTTGAACCATTATTTCCACGTTTTAATCCTTCCGACAGACCGCTTCTGATGTCTAATCCAATGTCAGCACCTATATTTACCGACTTTCCTAAGTTTTTATCTTGGCTCAAATGGATGTTTAAGTCTTTGTTGTGTCCCAATAGTTTTTCTTTTTCCGCTTCCAAATCAGCTTTCAACTTTTCACCATGCTCCAAATGTTTAGTTTTCACCGCATTCAAAAGGACATTTGCATTTTTACCGAGTTCTAAATGTTTTTGATTATTCAATTCGAGATCGGCTCGCAACTTGGTTGCATATTCACCTTGTTGATTGTTATTTGAACCATTATTTCCACGTTTTAATCCTTCCGACAGACCGCTTCTGATGTCTAATCCAATGTCAGCACCTATATTTACCGACTTTCCTAAGTTTTTATCTTGGCTCAAATGGATGTTTAAGTCTTTGTTGTGTCCCAATAGTTTTTCTTTTTCCGCTTCCAAATCAGCTTTCAACTTTTCACCATGCTCCAAATGTTTAGTTTTCACCGCATTCAAAAGGACATTTGCATTTTTACCGAGTTCTAAATGTTTTTGTTTGTTCAATTCGAGATCAGCTTGCAAATTGAATAAGTGATCTGTATGTTTGTCTACTGCATTTTTACCATCAGTCTTTATGTGGTCACTGTCTTTAGGGTTTATAGATCCGCCAATATCTACAGTTACTTCACCCAAACGATGTTTTCCTACATCAATGAGATGATTATGCTGATGATTTTTATCATTTTCAGGATCGTGATAGAATCGCTGGTCATAGCCGCGAAGTTTTTCCTTTATCCCATGATGTATAGAAGAATCTTTTTTTATTCCATGCTCGTTAACATCAAAAACCTCTACTTCACTCCCAATTGACGCTTCTTCTTGGTTTCGGAAGCCATCTGAAGTGAAATTGAAAGGAATTATAGACGAACAACAATCTCAAGGCAAGTTAATCCTTTGTTGCATATTTACCTTGTTGATTAGTACTTGAACCTACATTTCCATTTTTTATTCCTCCTGACAATCCGCTTCTGATATTTAATCCAATGTCAGCACCTATATTTACCGACTTTCCTAAGTTTTTATCTTTATTCAAATGGATGTTTAAACCTTTGTTGTCTCCCAATAGTTTTTTTTTCTTCGCTTCTAAATCAGCTTTCAACTTTTCGGCATGCTCTAAATGTTTAGTTTTGATCGCATTCAAAAGGACATTTGCCTTTTTACCGAGTTCTAAATGTTTTTCTTTGTTCAATTCGAGACGAGCTTGTAAATTGGTTGAGTGATGTGGATGTTTGTCTACTGCATTTTCATCATCAATTTTTATATGGTGACTGTCCTCATGGCCTGTAGACCCGCCAATTTCTACGCTCATTTCACCTATTTGATGTTTTCCTACATCGATTTGATCTTGGCTCTGAGCTTTCTCTGTTATCAGAATATGTATATTTATTTTGTTGATCATAAATTTGTTACCGATAGAAAAGGTTCTACTATATTTTGAGCTTGCGACAATACAATTAATGCTATAGTATAAACCTATTTTTAGCTAAATATTATGCTTATTAAATGATTGAATCAAAGTATTTTCAAATTATAAGGTTATTAATTATTACTAGTATCTTACTTTTATGATGATCTAAAGAAATATCAAAGTCAACGTGTTTATCGTGATGGCGGCCATCACTCGCAGTAAGTCCAAGTTTAACAGCTTTTTTTATACCGCCTTCAGGCAAATTTTCCGAACTAATTCCATCATGAATCTCTAAACCCAGATGTTTATCATTGCTTCTGGCGCTGTCGTGTTTTAACAAGGAATTAATCCCAAGATGCTTTCCAATATTTGTGATAGAATCTAAATGGTAATTTTTAAATCGTAATGATCACAAGGAACGTATATGTAATGAAAATACTCAATAATTACTTAGAAAAGCTGCATTTGGTTTGCTATAAAGAAAATTCAGCAAAGCCACGAAAAATATAACTTGAATCTTCATTATTTTTAATAGAAAATGAGAGTAATATACCTGTACGGTATAGTTCACAAGTCTAAATACTGTTCGTAATTTTCGGTTTTTCTTCTTATAGTGCGATACCGTCGAGACATCGTGATTGACGTAAAAATATTACAGCTTTTTGGCTTAAATTCTTCTAGCAAGAAACACGTGTACACATTTTATCGAGATACTTAACTATTTATTCCTACGAGAAAATTTTTGAAATAAAATTATACGATTTTTGAAATTACACCAAAATGTGAAATAATATTTCTTGTGCGAGATATTGATCCACATAACATCACTGTAATGTATAAAATCTATGAATGAAGAAATGACTTTTTAATTAAATATTAGAATATTAAGGTGTATTTGGTAAATGAACTAGGTACGCTTTTTCGTTTGAAAAATAACAACAAACATATTGATCGAATAGTTTTAAAACTTATAATACATTCATTAATATTTGTGTCTGTTAAAATAAATATTACTACACACACATACGCGCACACACATACACACACACACACACATACATTTTATTATGCTTAAAATATGTATTGTTTTTTTTATTTATTTATTTTAAAAAGTTTAATTCAAAGAAAGAGTTACTTTGCTTAAAATATATTTTTATGTTATTTGAATGTAAATTAATAAATATAATTAAATATAATATAATGATATTTGCAGTAGAATATACATTAATGAATTAATCCAAAAGAGTTATCAGTTTAATCGTTTACTTCGAAATCGAAATAAACAAAAATTCGCTGGTGAAGAAACCCAGCTGGAATAAAGGAGTTAGTTCGTTTAATTATCGTGTTGCGCCAGTCGTTTCACGTCTCAATAATGCAAATGGAAGGAAGTAACGCGAGGAAAGCGAGATTGAGCGGCGTTCGAAAGCGAAAGTGACGGGTCGAGGGTTCACAGAGGCTGCAACAACTCCCCCGTCGAGCTTCTAACTCGGCCTTGTCAGCGTCTTGCTATGTAAATTCATGTCATTAGGCACGCGATTCTTGTGCATGCGTTACTTTATCTGTTTTTTCTTTTGCTTTTTCTGTGCAGGTTAATTGCAACGTATTGTCTTTTAGAGGATAAGTCGTCTTTTTATGCATTTGAAAAAAAAATTTATGACAAAATAACGTTTCAACATATTCTTTCGTGCGCAATCCGAAATACACACGATGCAATATTAGGCATTTTGTTTGAACAATATAATTTTTTTCTACTCAGAAAAGGAATTTGCCGTTAGATATTTATGAATTTCCACTTTTTACGCCACGTCACAATGACTTGTTATTTCAATTAATAACTTTAATATGTATATTGCGTTCAGATAAAATACTACAAGCAAGATTGTGCATTGTTCCAAAGCTATGTGTTTACCAGTAGTCATGAATATTGAATAAAAGCAATGTTTCTTTTTATTTTAATTCAACTTTTAAGCTATTCACATAATTTTATACATTTAAGATTAAATAAATAATTATTCTGATCTTGGGATCTGAACATGTACATATATAAAGATATTTTTATACAGATAATTATAGAAATATTTTGATGATTGTCTACTGCATTTTCACCATCAATTTTCACATGGTGACTGTCCTTATGACTAATAGACTTGCCAAGACCTACGTCTACTTCACCTTTATAATATTTTTCTACATCGATTTGTTGATTGTCGTTAAAATTTTCCTTTTTTACTGAACCGTCATGATGACTGTGATTATCATTGTCAGGTTTCTCTGTTATGACATGATACAGCGAAAAAGCTTTTTCTATTTCATTCCTATAATTATCAAACTCATTTACTGTACTCCCAATGGACGGTTCTTTTTCGTTTCCTTGGCTGCTCTTGACATCTGAAACAATAAAGAAAAGGAATATAGATTGAATACAGCGCAAAAACACGAAAGTTAATGTTGATAGTTTACCGTGTTGAAATGTATTTGTACGGCCATCTTCACTTTTTATTTGCCCTGAGAATCCGATTCTGTTATCTATGTCAAAACCAGAACCTATATTTCCTAAGTTTTTATCTTGGCTCAAATGGATGTGTCCCAATAGTTTTTCTTTTTCCGCTTCCAAATCAGCTTTCAACTTTTCACCATGCTCCAAATGTTTAGTTTTCACCGCATTCAAAAGGGCATTTGCATTTTTACCGAGTTCTAAATGTTTTTGTTTGTTCAATTCGAGATCGGCTTGCAACTTGGTTGCATAATCACCTTGTTGATTGTTACTTGAACCATTATTTCCACTTTTTAATTCGCCCGACAGACCGCTTCTGATGTCTAATCCAATGTCAGCACCTATATTTACCGACTTTCCTAAGTTTTTATCTTGGCTCAAATGGATGTTTAAGTCTTTGTTGTGTCCCAATAGTTTTTCTTTTTCCGCTTCCAAATCAGCTTTCAACTTTTCACCATGCTCCAAATGTTTAGTTTTCACCGCATTCAAAAGGACATTTGCATTTTTACCGAGTTCTAAATGTTTTTGTTTGTTCAATTCGAGATCGGCTTGCAACTTGGTTGCATAATCACCTTGGTGATTGTTACTTGAACCATTATTTCCACTTTTTAATTCGCCCGACAGACCGCTTCTGATGTCTAATCCAATGTCAGCACCTATATTTACCGACTTTCCTAAGTTTTTATCTTGGCTCAAATGGATGTTTAAGTCTTTGTTGTGTCCCAATAGTTTTTCTTTTTCCGCTTCCAAATCAGCTTTCAACTTTTCACCATGCTCCAAATGTTTAGTTTTCACCGCATTCAAAAGGACATTTGCATTTTTACCGAGTTCTAAATGTTTTTGTTTGTTCAATTCGAGATCGGCTTGCAACTTGGTTGCATAATCACCTTGTTGATTGTTACTTGAACCATTATTTCCACTTTTTAATTCGCCCGACAGACCGCTTCTGATATATAAAGATATTTTTATACAGATAATTATAGAAATATTTTGAGTTTACGTCCAATGTTTATCCTTTTATTAAAAATGCTTGACAAAATTTATGCTCAAAATAGCACAAAAAGTTTTCTGAAGTATAATGAAAGATCGGACATTTATTAATTCATAGTATCCCTGTCGAAAATGATCTATGCATAAAATTAAAATAAATAGAAATCATCTATTAGTTACATTTGCTAACAGTTATTTACAATTTATAACCGTTTATAAACGTCAGATTTTGGACTCGTACAACAATTATAAAGAATTTTTTTCTGTTAAAATCTGACATTATTAGATAATAACAGTTTGTTCAATTACTAACGGTGATTTGCATATTTATTCACCAAAATAAATTTATTTCGAGAAATAATATTGATTCAAATAACTATAAATAACTACAAATAACAGTTATCACCAAGTACCTATTGGAATAAAAAATTATTATTTATTATTTGCATTTAATTTCAATTATTAATTTGCCAATACCGGATACAAAAAAATTATTATAAGCGAAAAAAATTAAATGATAATAACAATTTATAAGCGTTTAAAATAATTTTTAAATATCACGTATAATAATGAACTATTACATTTATAAGCAATAATTTAGATATTTGAAATTGATTTAAAAATTGTTCATAATTGCTATTAGTAACAAATCTTTTTATGATAAAAAGGTGCATTTCCGAAATTGTCTATAATTGTTAATAACTGCATATCATTATTACTGATAGAAATAACCGTTAATAACTGTTATACATGTCTAAAATCTGACGTTTATAAACTATTTTAAACTGCAAATAACTGCTTGTAACAGTTTTACGCTAAAATTATTTCCAACAGGGATTGATAGTCAAAAAATTAAACGAATATCATTAATTGACCAAAATAACCCTTATAAACGCGCGTAAAAACTAACTCGTCAACAGCGATATTCATCAGCTGAAATAAAAGCGTAGCTGCAGCTATATACACCATCTCGCACGCGATCCACTCGTCGGTCAATTCTCATCACCGCGTTTCCACCAGAGTTGTTTATTGCTCTGTTTTGAAGGCTATGGGTTCTTTCGTGTTTTTCGCGTACCCATTCAGTCAATCTGATATACACAATTCATGTATTAAATATCTGGTATATTTTGAAAAGGAATTCGCTCGCGAAATCAGCATACGCATTTCTTTTATGTTCATAAAGTGATTTGACACTGAGAATTTCGATCGGTTCAATTATGATACTCTACGTATAATTGACAATGATGGCAAAATCTAAAAGATTACTTTTTCTATTTTGGATAAAAGAGAATTTTCCAAAATAAATGAAGAATTGAAGAGATACGGTATTCCTAAGCAAATTTCCAAACTTATTGGCTGAACTATTTGAAAATAATATAAGAATTCTTTTTTAAAGTGTATGTACTTGTCAGCAATTTTTCGTTGCTGCACTTACTTTGAATACTTTCATCATCTAGTCATTTCCCAAACGATTAGCACGCCTGTGTAAATTAAAATCTACATTTATCTTTTTACGGCAATTCTTTGCAAAGTTTTAGAATTTCAGATCTGTTTCATTTTATTTGATAGTACGCTGTGAAAATAGTTTAGTCCCATTACTATCGTAAAATCCGCTTATTAAGTTGTATATTATTAGATGCATTAAATAAGAGCATTAAAATCGAGTTCCAATTAAAAGCGATACAATAATTCGATTACAATGGCATATAACTGAGAAAACCTATTTTAATCGTTGATCATATCGTCTGAAAAATGGCGCTTCGCCAAACGGCTAATAACGTTTTCAAATTATAATGCAAACATAGAATTGTTAGCGATTACTTGATCCAGCTATATTTTTTTTTTAAATTTAACGTGAATGCTTAGTTTTCTAGATTGATTTCGACAATTTAAGTATTTTACAGCTCTGAAAAGACGCGTCTAATCGACGCGACACCGCATAGACGCCGAGAAACGTCTCCGCAATACTTACCAGGCGGCTCCGTTACATTTGCTTACCAAGTTGGCGAGATTAGCTGGTGGTATTGCTATTGCACCGCCCCAGAGATCTACGACGCGCTAACTCCCAACGAATTTTTAATATTATTTAAATTTGAAGATTTTATTCTTATTTTGAAAGTGTCGCAACATGGTTGCGGTCGCATATTTTTTTAATCAACATATATTCATGAACGCGATTACAAAGACTGAAATTGTTTATAATTTGATCTAAAAATAAAATATTTTTACATTATAAAATAATATTTATTGCGTAGTCGTTTGCAATTTGCACGTGTATTCTTAATTATTGCATTTCAGAGTGCCGCACAATTTAATAACCATTTTTATTTAATTGGTTATTTGAAAAATATGGTGAATCAGTCACGATGCAGATCGTGCCAGACTATGTTCGCGGTTAACTTTTACGACTAACAATGTACGACTTGGAAATTTCGCGTTGATTTCTTTAAAATTCAATTCACAAACGATTAGCCAAAGTGTTTCGCGACGCTCAGCTCGAATTCGAAATTCCAGAATTAAATTCATTGAGCCAGCTCTCGTCGTGGCAAATGTCTTTTAATTAAACTGCTCTACAAAACTCGATTCTGAAAGAGCTTTTCTCTCTCACTCTCTCGTTGACAAAAGAAATAGCAGTTACCAGCGTTTAAAATTCTCTGTGCAGCTCATTAATCTTCGAAAAGGACGAAAAAAGAAAAGGCAAAATAGGCGCGGCTCATCTCGAATTCCGCGGCGCGTGTCTTCCGCGAAAAGACCGAGCGATTTTCGCTGCGCGTACGCTCGTTTCCGCCGATTGATGCGTGCACGATTCCGAGTCTACGCTGCATAAGAATTTCTATGTGTGTGTCTCTCTCCCTCTCTCTCTCTTTTTTTTATTTGTTGCCGTGCGTGCGCCGCTGTCGTGCATTTTTGCGCGCGCCGCGCGCGCGCTGCTTTTTCCTCGTTGCGGCGCATTGATTTATACGACTTTTATTCGTTTACTTGGAATTTCATTTGTTCTTATACGATTGGCTTGCAAGATCGATGCTTGCGGCAACGCTCCTTTACGTTATTCTCAGCTGAATAATTATTTTGCCGCGCTGCCTAAGAATACGTACAACTGAATGTTTACCGAGGAATACTGAAGTCTTACGTTAATTTCATTTGGCTGACTTTGAAAGTCGCAAAAATATTTCGACATATAAATGAAATTCCCCCAACCCTAAAGTCGTTCTCTTCTCAGCAATGGAAAAACTTCGGCAGAAGGCAAAATTTAAACATTGAAATATTTACGCGCAAGCTCACCTAAGTTAACAGCACGTTCACACACAGCCGTAAAATGGGTTGCCCATCATGCGGAGCATTATGGATATAGATATACACCAACCAACTCTCTCTCTATCTCGCTGAGGCGCGACAACAAGATCCCATTCTAGAACTTGGCATGCGATGATCCATCGCGTACCTCGGTGCTATACGTAATCCGGCTAACAAGGGAGACTCCCTTTCTCGCTTAAAGTTTCTCGGCTACTGTGCATCTGTGTGAACATGTGTGACAAGTTATAATTCGTGCATATGAACTGTATCGAACGAGAGATTTCGATAATAAGCTCTATAAATAAAAGAACGTGGCTTAATGAACTCAATCTCTATTAATATATACATCGCGTGAGCCGTGGTTCACAGGATAACTTCCGTGAAAGGAATGTGTCACGCCTTCTCAAAATTTTATAATTGGTAATCGAAAGCTCTTGTTAATATTATGAAACAATGTATCAGTATCAAGAGGCTTACTCGATGTAAAAACGTTGCCCGTTATCAAAATTTGGATTCTTCACCACGTACACTTTTGTAAGATTGTACGGAGGCAACGTTGCCAAACATTTTTCGCATACAAATAAAATCTTATAAAAAGATACATAAGATAACATATTATACATCGTTCAAACCTAACTGCCGATTTTAGATATCTTATATACCTGAACGTCTGTTATCACTTTGAATTATGCAGCGCCAAATTAATGCTTTTTAAGATAGATCGATTAAAAATCGCTTAACTTTCTTTAATTTTCTCGAGGAAGTAGCTTAGTGTCATTGAAAGATTTCGATTGCATAATAATTTTGATGTTTCTAGATAACGTCAAGATACCCCGAAATTCGCGCATGTGTGCGAGTATGGTTATTGTTTAACCTCTCGATTAAAAGCCCGCCGTTCCATAAAGTTTCAATACTTTTTAAAGTGTGGCAGCCCTTTCAATTTTTCTACTCTTCTACTTTCGAGATACACATTGCTCATAGCAAAAAAGTCGGTTGACTAAGCATCAAGTTAACTGATGGTTATTCGCGTCGATTTTATGATTATATTCAAAGTCTGTAACATTGATACATTTAAACATTTTGAACCCTTATATGAAGTCATTAAATAACTTATATTATGCAGTTGAATCAAAGATATAAAACTTCTAATTTGGTGGTATTATTCAAATTTGACAATTTTAAAGTAATTGAAAATTTATCATTTATTTTTAGTTAAATACGTTTTTGCGTACTTCATACTAAATAAATATTGAAACTGATAATATAGAGTAAAAATAAATATACTATCATAAATGTGGTATAATTATTATTTGATGTACTATAGTTTATGTGTTTTTCGAAAGTGTTATTGTCTTTTGTAACGGTTTATATAGTTTGATACCATCGGTAATGAAGAAATATATTTGTACATAAATATTTTAGAGATTTTTGCAAGGATAAATTTCTTCTACTTTGAATTACCATATCTACGTCAATTTGTCGTACTCAAAACAGATGTTCAATGAATAAGTATGGGATAACATTGAATAAATTATTAATTTTCGAAGACAATTGATTTATTTTAATTGTCTTACTTCTATATAAGTTTATATACTATGACGTTGAATTTATATAAAATTAAAAAAATGGCATTTTACTAAAAGTATACTTCTTGTTTACGTATGGGTGGATTAGAAAATAATTTGTGAAGTGTAATAATGTAAATTGAGATATATCGATAATTAATAACTTATGGTAAATAATTATAAAATTTTTAGAGTGAATACAGTTAATTTTAATATTTCATTACATTGGTTAAAATCCAAGAGAAATTTTTTTGTTAAAGATAATAAATTGCATATAATTTTAAGTGTTTAATCTAAAGTGATATTCTTTGAAAAATGGATAATTAAATTCAATTACTAAGAAATTGTTAACCTTTTACTTGGATTTCTCTAAACAATGCAAATCCAGTCGAATGATTATTTCGTTCGAAAATTTCATACACTTACAATTTTCGTAAAGAAAAAAAAGAAAGTCTTTGAATAACGTGCAAATAAAAGAAATGTATATTTCAAGCACTGTAGGGAAAAAATCGCGAACGTTTTCCTATGTTATAGAGGCGAGCCTGTTGTCACGGGCCAATCAAACTCAAACCGTCTGTTTGGGCGTGCGTGTATAGGCGAGCGGGTATGAAAAAAAAACATCAAAAAAGTCGATAAATACAAAAAGGGCTTTTAGTTACTGCATGTCAAAGTCTATTTTGGATTGTCAGATGGACTACGATATTCGGATAAATAAATTTTAACCAAGTGAAAATGTTGAGTTTGTCTCGCGGCTTTTCTATTTTCTCACGTTATTTGATATCGCTGTGGAAGTGCTGGCATAGAAAGCATCTAATTTGAGGTATTCGACTGTCGAAAACACGTAAGCTGAGTGTATCTGTTGTTGTAGCTACTGCTGCCTGTTGTTGATATCCGCCGGGTGCAGGAGAAAAAAAGAGGACTGGCCCTTTTGATGTTTTACGCCGAATGCGTTAGTCTTGTTTTCGGATAAGAAAAATATGAATCGTACAACTGCTGTAACTAGATTTGATTCGCATATGTGAGATGAGATTTCACTTCAATGGAAATACATTAATTAAAACTACAAGAATTTTTTTCAATTAAACGGCTCGAGTTACACAACTCACGCTTGCATTTGCAATTAGCGAACTTCAGAAATAATATAAATAACATTCAGCCAGTACGGAAATGACCGAGACACGGGTATATAGCAACGCACGGACGATCCTCGGATAAACAACTAATTCGTATAAGCAAATGCATCATCGCCTACAGACTGCATACTCGCGACGAGTTTGCGCACGATCATACGGATACATACACGGCAGATCAATCAAAGCCACGCGCACACACACGCGCGCGTGGGTATAAGCAGCGGCGCAGCGTGCGGATACTAATTGCGCGCCTCGGGAGTTGCCGGTATAGTATTAGAAGTTGGCGCCTTGGCATTGCATGCGCAGAGACAGGACCGAGAGCAAATAGTAGTACATCCCTGCAGGCTAAACCTAATTTGCGTGTTGCAGCCCTCCACCCTCCGCGCGCGCGAGCTTCACGTCACAAATCATCGCGCGACGTGACGGATGCCAGCTGGCTCGATTGTTTTAGTTTTGCAACGGGAGTTTCGCATCGCTAAACTCGCACGCGCGCCTACCTCCTCTTTCTACGTGTCGGTGCGCGCGCGAGTACGGGGGTCGCTGCGCGTTGCTACCATAGCTCGCTCGCGACCGTTCTTCTTTTATTTTTATGTTATTGTTGATTTGTTTATTGATCTTCACCTTTACACACGGCATTGCGTTTTATCACGAAAAGCATATAAGGAACGGCAATGTCGAAACTGATCTCTCGAGAATGCGTACAACAGGAAGTTTCAGAATTGGAGATGAATGCTCATACAGAATTTCGACTATGACTTTCAATGCCTCAGTCTTGCAAATTCCAACTTCTGGTTTATTGAATTTGCATTAATAATTATGGAAGTTTAGGAAGATGTACAGATGAATTCAGCTAATTATTCATGGGTAGGTGCTTCTACCATTTAGTGAAATAAAGCAACTGATATTGACTACGCTTCCTTAGTTTTTCTATATATTGTGTTCGTTTATTCGATTCACATAAATTCATGTCATTCGTATAGAAATATGTAGTGAATTAGAATAAAATGAATTTAATAGATTCTTGAGAATCCCTAATAATAATAAACAAACTGTACAATTTGTTAGTTTATAAAAGATTTTTTCATTAATATGATTATCTGAAGATAATTTTTCTCAAGGACCGTTTTCTTAAGTGCGACCGTCCTTTTTAAAAAATCTACAAAAAACATCATTATACAAGAAAATCGAGTCAATGATTTTTGTCCGATAGAAATAAATAGACGCCATATAGAGTGACAATGGCAAATAAACAACTCTAATAAACGCACCAATATTTAACAATGTATATATAATAAGCTGTTCGATCAACGCCTATCTTGTGTATAACAATCAAACATGCGCTTCCCATTCCCCACTATGTAAATGCTGTAAATGTATTTACTTACAAAATTGCAATCGTTGACAAGTGACGGTCTAATGTTGTAAGGACAGAAACATAATTTCACTTATGTTATATATTTCTTTTGATGCTTTTTTTTCTCGATGTACTAATAATATTGCTTGATACAAAAAAAAATGGAATTTTAACTTTGTGAATGGCTAAACGTAATATTTTTTTCTCGACTTTACGTTATATGTATTTCGTAACCATCAAGCAACTAAATGATACTAAATTATTTTTATATTTTCATAACGTATTTATGTAGCAATAAAACTGCAGCAACACGTCACATCAATTGTAATATTTCAATGATTAAAACTCCGTAAGTAAATAAACGACATTCGCATGATTAAAAATAGGATGTGTCTATTCAATTCATTGTGTACGGGATAGACACATTGACTAATCAGTTTACCATCATTTATGCATCTTTCAATATCGGTATGTTTATTAAAGTTATGTATTTCCCTTAGTAAGGTAGTAACTGTTGTATAATAGGTCACTGCTTATTTTTCTAAAAGAAAATTATTGATTCGATTGTCTCTCCACTATGTATATTAAAAAAATCCTATTTCATACATTCAATTTTCGATACAATATCGGATGGGAATACCAATTTCGTACAGAAAAAACAACTAAATAAAGAAACAAAACGAAAATCGACAACACGAAGCTCGCATGATGCATTTAGTCTTTTACAATTACACCTCTTGTCGATTTTTTCGATGAAGCGACAGTACTTCGCTTACTTAGCCGACAATGAACTAAAAAGAAAAATTGTACGACGATCGTCACGGTCATAGTTTCAGTGCGAAAATCCAGCCCTGGAACAGTGATGGGGGTTACGAAATTTTCATTGACAGAAACATACTCGTTATCGATTTTCTCACAATTGTTCTAAGCAGTTGACTACAATTTACAAAGCGTCACAGTTAAAATTCTCTTGCGTAAAAAATTAGTGCATTAGGTAGAAGAGAAATTTCCAATAGTGGTTGATAAATTTTATTTAACTTTTTCGGAAATTTGTGAAAAAAAGCTACAATAAATTAAATTTTATGAAGAAAAGTTCCAAACTCCTTTCATTATTCAGTGTTATCATTCCGTACTGTAATTTATACAGTGACAACATTTGTAATTTTTACGTAAAAGTTCTATCCCTGAAGAAATGGAAAAAGTTCACGTTATATCTTTTTTTTCAACATATTTGAAGGTTCATTTTGTTTCGCGAACACTTGTTTATAAATTCACCATCTCAGGCAATAATTCATTTTTTCGTGTAAAACCTAATCATTCAAAGGTGTATTCAGATGGAATCGTTTACCAAGTAGCATTACAGAAGGCGGTTGCATTTTAAAGAAAAAAGTTAGAAAGAGTGCACGTAATGATGCAGCCCTCTCGCGCGACGACGAAAATTCGGCTGACAGGATTGTAGAAAAACATGTGCATATTCGATACTTTTATAGGCGTCGAGTGCTTGGCAGCTTTTAAATGTACAAACCGAAAAGATTATTATATTGACAGAATTTTTAATCCATAATTAGCTTATTATTTACGTGAAATTTTTTCATTAGTCAGTATATATAACACATGTGGCATCTTGGAATTTCTTGAAATATTTTTAATATATATTATCACTTATTAATGGGCGTTGAAAAAGTGTAATATGAAATGTTTCTATAAAGTAAATTTTTTAATAAAAACTTGAAAAATGAATTGACTTGAAAACCATCCTCTTAAAGAGGAAGAAAACAAGCCATCGATCGCGTTAAATCATCACTTAACGCGGCAGAGTTCTCAAAATGAGGAAACAAAATGCAAAATGCATTTCGGTACATGCACATACGTGATTCTTTTATTCTATAAGCTTCTCCCTGCTAACCCCTTTCCATTCCTTTTTGCGGCCATGCGGGAGTTAAAAGTACAAAATAAAAAGAAGAGGAAAAACATCAGGAGGCACGCGCGCGTGTATAGAGAATAGGAAAAGAAAAGGCAAAAAGAGAGACGACAAAGCGACGGCGAGTGTAGTTGCGGATGAAGAAGGGGGAAGCCAGCTACACAGCCTTTTTACGTTCGGAGACTCTACTCGCTGAAAAACGATGCCCGGTTTCTTTACGAGAAAATATCGTTTCTCGTTTCACCGGCTCTGCGCGCGCTGAGAAATAGATATACGTATCTCAAAGTTTTATGTATTATATATCGAATAACGCTGATGAGCACGGCAAGCTCAACGTCACACAGTGTCAATGACATCTTTGCTATTCGCGAGAACTCGATTGCACAACTCGACAGCGCGTTCCCGCTGGTTGCTCCTCTCGAAGCGCGCCCGTTACACTTTGTTGGGAAAATCAACTTCCATCGATGGATGCTACCTCTGCATATTTACGGCATATGGAGTGTTTGAGCGCTCGGAACAAATTATTGGAAAGATTCGTGATGGATCCAAAAATCGGCTAACACCTTCGCACGCGAGACATTTGTGGTGGCCATCAACCAAATTTTTTATGGTTTGTTCTTTTGATTATCCATTAAAAATATTGAATTACCTTTCGACACATTAGTCTAGATTTTCTTGGACAATATCAGATTTCCATTACTTTCGTAATTGCACAACAGTCACGCCAGTAGTTCCCAAAATTTCGGGAACTTCCTCTAAAGTTATACACGCTGTACATATAGGCATGTCAAAATGTCAGAGGAATCTAATGGCGAAGTCCAACTTAAAAACAATGAGTTACAATGGTGCGATGAGTCGAGAGTGTTTTTTTTTTTAATTTTCATTTCTATCAATTACAAGAGTACGAATTTATTTTTTGAAAGTCGTTTGTGCGACGAAATCTATTTTTTGTACACTGGCATAGACAACGCGGCTCTTTTTTCCGTATTAATTGAACGGAAATTTGTATTTATACACACTTAACCACGTATTCACAGCTGTGTTTGTCAATTGCATCAGTCAAATTATCTGTATTGTATGACGGTACGGCAACACTGTCAAAATTGTAATTCACACATATAACAGTATACACTGTACAGCAGTTAAGCGCTAAGCCAAACTCAAGTTTACAACGGACATATTATCTCCGCAATTGTCATCAGCGCAGATCGATTACGTAAAGCTCGACAGTGGCTAGCAGTGTAGTGTATACATATATCGGTTCAGTTCCGTTCTCAATAACCTCTCGCATCTATTAGCCACTACACCGCACTGTCCAGATAATTACAGATTTCACAATCCTTTTCTTGTTTTACCGGCAACGCCTGTAAACAAAACAATATGTAAATGGCATCGATAAGCTGGCACCGTTTTTTAAAAGCAAAAAAGACGAGAAAAGTCTATCGTCTACCTACGCTCTTTCTGTCTCGGCACTCTCGGCAGTGTAGCTGCATTATAAGGGCGCGCGCGCAGCTTTCATGTGTATATAGCCTCTGGTGGGGAGGTTTCATGAGAGAGAGAGAGAGAGAGAGAGAGCGGCGCCGGCAGCATTTTAGTTCCGCGCAATCCTTCGCGCTGTGAACACGCACGTCGAAGCTCTTTGTAATAGCTGTACCACAGCGTTTACAACAGAAACACTAACACACATATATACATGTACTTGGGAGCCAGGCGTGAGTGAGTGTGCTGTGCTGGTTTAGTTTCGTTTCTTGCAAGTGCGTGCTTGGTTTGTTTTTACTACGACGAGAAAGAAAATAATTATTGATTGTTGTGACAAAAATATATAGACAACAATGCGTGCTATACTACTGCTGTTGAGTATTCTACTCGGTGTCGATGCCAAGCTGTCAATTGATGCTAAGATTCGCGAGGATCCCGACTTGTCTGAGGTGAGTTTTTTTGTTTGGTTTTCAGTGAAATACAAAAAGCCTATCCTACAACTTGACACCTCGTTTATTCTTTGTACATTTACATGTATATTGACGATGTATTTTCGCTTAATTTATTATATTGTTAGAAATTCTTTGTTAGGCGATCGTTGGAATTGTAATCTGTGTTTCTCAAATCAAGCATTTCAGCAGACAGCGGGTAGTTTACGAGGTCATAAACATCATTTTCGAGAAATTTAGTTTCGAAAAGAAACGTAACTTTATCAATCTTTTCGCTTTGTTTCCATAAGTGTTGAAGTAATCAAAGATGTGAAAACACCATGCAAAACTGATTAAATTATTCAGATTAAAACAATCATCCCGATTCGATAATTTGCATCAAAAAAATACGGGAATTTCAAAAAGTGCAAATTTTTATTTTAAAGAAAAACACTTTTATTCTTTAAACTTTGGCAGAACGCTAAAAAATAAAAATAACTTAAAAAACATTGAAGATAGTTCTTTCAATTCATTGAATCCATATAATATATATCTATCTTATTCAAAGTGACTGTTAATATAATAAATGAAACAATTAACTACAGGTTTTTCGATAATTTCTTAGCGGAAAAGGTGAAATATCTTTCGTTTGTAGAAGACCTGCAAGAATCAATAATATTGATTCCGCGTACTTGAAATTTCTAATTATGTAATTCTATTCAGAATAGACATAACATAGACATTCATGGAAGGTTTGATGATAAAACAAATTTAATAACATAGCGAGAATAAAGGTTTCATTTGTTTGTATTTCTGATTTCATATCGAATAACACGAAGTTGTTCATTCAAAATATCTCATTTTGCATCTTTCATTTCTCGTAATTGTCGAGCTGTGATACAAACTTAACAATCACCATCGCTAAAAAAATTAAATGTCGAGTGCAAACAGACGCAGTGTTTTAAGACTGCGGATTTCACAAAAGAAATCCATTTACAACGCGGAATAATTTGTAGGAAGAAAAGTAACAAATAAAAAAAAGCGCGCAATACATTTTTAATTAAACCTGAATGAACCCTTGGCGCGAGATAGGAAGGACGGAAAAACGCGTCGCAATAAAAACAATTTTTTTCCTTTCCAGTGCAAAATTAGTATTCCCAGCAACAGAAAGAAAAGTCATTACGTTTTAAAATTTTCTCAAACGACTAATTGCAGTTCGATAGCTTGATTTGCGAGAGAGGGAGAGAGAGAGAGAGAACCGTCGTGGAGATCCAAGAAGAAATAAGTAAGAGAGAAAAAAAGTGCACGAGCCATTAGAGCCAATTGCTTCTCCTTCTTGGCGCTTCGTTCGTTATAATCGAGTCACCCGCCGGATGATTCATGTATTCTTATGCGCTCTGTGCGCTTCTCCTCTCTCTCGCTTCTCAACAGATCTCAAACCTACTGTCTGCGTGCAGTTGAGTTCAAGTGTTTTGTGATGAGAATTAGATACGATAAAATCTCCTTCGGCAAAGACAATTGCTCGATATCTTTTTAAACAATGATTACCGTTGAAATATTTATTTTATTCATCTATTTATGGGTGTTTTAATTAGGAACACAATTCAAATATTGAAGTACCGTTTATTCATTCATTTAAATGGTTGATCATCGAACGTAAAAAGGATATTATTTATTTTTAATCTCTCTCAACTCTGGAACATTGATCATTTGCTATTGGTTATATATTATTCATTATTTATTTAGTGTATCTAAAAATGTCGTTAATGTGTGGAGCTATCAAATAAATCACGTCGTATATATTGTATGTAGTGCCGTTATCATTGCAGGCATTCGTTTGATTTTTGTCCAGGCATAGAGTTTGAAAAATGTACTTGACGTGTACTTGAAAAGAAATTTCGTTTAAGATAATATTTTAAGATTTTTCTTTACCACATAAGCTTTGAAATACTTAACATCAATAGACTTTCGTTGAAAACTCATTGACAGAGTCAATATCTCTTCTCATATCGCAACTTCACGCGAGAAAATATCTGTCAACCATTGTATATTAAAAATGTGAAAATTAAAATTCGCTTTGTTATTCCAGACTAAATTTTTTCACACCTCGTAAATCGCTCAGACATCTTTCCGAATAAAATCTTCTAAATATCAAAAATCGAAAGCCATTAGCAGAGAAAAAAATTGTCAACGTATATCATCCATCACTTTGGACAGTGTCAACTCGTTTCGTCTATGTGTATAGCCAAAAGCAAGGCCTAAATCGCATTAGGCATCTGGGGCGCGCATTGAAAAGAAGTTTCCTCTCTCATCGCTCGGTGATGATCGACCAAACGCTGCCGCCGCCCGTCGCTTCGACGTCTCCCTCCAAGGTTTTCTCGCTTACGATGCATTATTGAAGATATCGCGCCACAAAAGCCCACAACCATTTTTCATTCTGGCTTTTCAATTTTCAAGATAGAGGAATTAAAGCGCGCTCGCGATAAAAATATTCTTCGTCGAGGACCGCGTCAAGTGAGAAAGTCCACCCTCTCGTTGACTTGAAACGCTAACGCGATTTTAAATTTGCCTTTCGGCTCTACGGCACTGCGGGACAAATGCTCTTTTCATACGCTCTCAGTTTCGCTTTTCGTATTAAGGTGGGGGGCTGTATGATTTTTTTTTAAGCTGGAGTGAAGCAGTTGCCTCCCTACTTTTTTTATTTTACTGAGGCACTTCTTTAATGGAAGGCTTATAGTTGAAATATTTTAATCACGTAAGATCGAATGAAGAAGACAGCTTGAATATGATCCTCTTGTTTTAACTAAACACTTTATGAAAGTGTTTTGTTAAGTGTTTGTTTGATAGTTTTTTTGAAATTTAATTTAATTTGATAATATGTCTTAAATTAATTCAGGTGGTGATATAGGATTTTAGTAGTTTTGACCGTTAAATAATTTAATCGCGCTTGATATTCGTCCAAAATAAGTAAAAAATTTTACTAAATATTAAAATTTTATGTTCTTATGTTCTTATTTTACTATTTTTATAAGGGTCCTAAATTTCCTACTTTACACATTAAATAAATCCTAATAAGAGATTATTATACATTGCAAAAGCATAGGAAACTGGTATATTTTTCGATTGACAAAAAAAAAATAGAATGTAATGATGTAATGACGTTTCCGACTGGTAATATCAATATTTCATTTCCCAAGACACGAGCATGCAACGTCAGAGTTTAGAAAAAAGTAATCAATAAATGAAACTTGGATACTTGCGGAAAAGCTTTAACGGCAAAATCTTTCATTTGACGGTTGATTCAGCGGAATAATACGTGCAAGTGCACACGAGAACATAAACAGGGAATCTGCAGGGAGGGATATTACGCAACTGCATGACAGCGAGCGCAACGATCAGAAATAGCTTCGAATGGAAAACAATACTACGCCGATCACGCCCTTGACGTTTAAAATCTGACTATTTTCAAACACGATGTGTTTACTGCGAAGGTCGGCCTCGCGCGCGCGTGTATGTGTGTCGATTTTTACCCGCAGAAATGAATACTTTACATGTCGGATTTGCGGGTACTGCATGATACATACTAAATTTCAGTATGTATTGTCGAATAAAATAGAATTTAAAATATCTTTGAGCTGCACCAATTCTCATTTGAAATAATGATCCGTACAGTGCATGTGTATCGACTTTACGTTCAAAAACAATTAATTAACCAAAATATTCGCAACGCCACAAAGTATTATCAGGTATCTGCCATTTACGGGAAGAAGATGGAGTTTCATTTGGGTGTATTTGCCAGGGCGCTGTGGGAACGACTATTGTGTACGTACGGATGTCGGGGCGCAATGATATTGCAGGTCTATTATCTAATAATCGATTAATTCGGTCAATTAAGAATCAATTGAAGTCGAAATTCATTGCGACGTGGCCTCTCTATCTCGCGGGATATTGCATTTCAAGGACGACTCCGGCAATCGACGTTCATTTACAAACAGCATCCACATTAATTAGCCTTCGTGGAATGCTCGCTGGAATTTGTATCTCGGCGTACAATGCTCTCTGGACGTCAAAATCGTCACTTCCGCCTCGACAATTTTCCGCAGCGATCGTCTACGATCGGTTAGGAAAGAATAAAAAGAGAAAATCAACGCAACGTACGCGCCATTGACAAATCTACAATGCGTCGTATACACAGCGGCGTGGCGCATAAAAGTCGCGCATCCGCTTCCGCCGGCTGGAGCTGCTGCTGCTCTCTCGCTCTCGAATGATGCATGCGCGGTGATGTCGCAGTGAATTGACGCGGCCCCTTGTTTTCTCGCTTTTTTTTGCATTTTTATGCGTTTTTAACGAAGCTACGCGTCTGATACTCGTAAATCCATTCCTCTTATGATAACTTTGGTGTTATGACTGGCTCTGAAATTGAAGAAGAGAGAATAAAGTAACAAATTAACGTAACGATGATACCAAATTGTATTAACTTGTTTTTCGGTAGCGTTACTTGCATGATTGTACATATCTGACTGGATGGTATATTGATTACACAGACGAACACTTCTCAGACCTAGAGACCAGACAAGGTATTTCCGAAGGAACTTGGTGAGTTGAATCCAAATCCAAAGCTCAAAACCGTTTCATTACCCTTAGTTTTCTATATATCCTAACCTAAAAGCGTCAAAAACACTGTTTTTTTGTAGTATTTCAACCCCTGTATCTTTGTGAACAAATTTTTTTTGCAATTTTGATGACGGCATCTTAAAGAGCAACTCTTGCTCTTCAAAACGCACTCAAGCATTTTTTTCAATATCATTTTTTCCGAGAGAGATGTGACACATTATGTATGATAAATTGACATTTTTGCAAATGTCGTTAAAGCAGAGGAAAGTGTCGCTGAAAGATGATAGTGGAAAACCTAGCAGGGTACAGGGTTCTTTGGTTGAGGTACTTGGAAAATTATTTTATTTTTCAGCGAAGATTATCTTTCAGCGAAATCTTTCTCTGTTTAAACGACATTTGCAAAAATG